GGGAAAACCGCAAAAAAATGAAAAAACTGAGGAACATTGTGGTAAACATTCATCTGGACGGTATGCACATGTGCATACAAGTAATTTATAATGAATTTGTTTGGTATGCACATGCGTATAACATGCACACGTGCATAACAACCAAGAAACAACTTCAATTACTCGTACGCACACGTGCATAAAAACCAAGAAACAACTTCAAGTACTTGTATGCACATATGCATACCATCCAGATGAACGGTTGGTGTTCCTAAGGTTTCTATTTTGTGGGAGGTTTTCCCTTGAACCTCTATCTCTCTCTCTCTCTCTTTCTATATATATATATATATATATATATATATATATATATATATATTTGCAGCTTAAATTTAATCTTAGGAATAGATGAGTAGAATCATGCCCTAAAACAGTATAAAATCATCCCCAGTTATTGCACTACAACGAACTCAAATTCATAGCGTTTAAGAGCTAGACGCCATAGGATGTAGATCAATCCATTACGATTCAGCATCGTTGTCCACAATGACAAAAACACACAATTTTAGAAATATGTAATTATTACACTTCTTAATTAACTAAATGACAGTTTTACCCTTTAATAACAGATGGAGAAATGAATTTCTCCATCTTGTAAGGGTAGAATTGGAAGGTACACACTTTTGAAAGTGCATATTTATTTTGGGTCAAACTGAAATAGCAACATGGACACGTATTTTGGGACATAGGAAGAATATTGACTGAATATAGAAATAGATTCTAGTGTCGTTTGGATATGGTTCCGAGCACCTGATCTCCAACTTGTGGCATAGTTGACTTTTATGAGGGAACAAGTGAAGAACTCAGTTTCTGAAATGGTCTGGTTGAGATGCAATATTTTTTTGGGCATGCAATAAATTAGTAGTAAAAGAAACAAGTGGAAGTTTAAAAAAGGTATCCTACGGTATATTTACGTATTTATCGTAAATGAGATTTTAATTAAATCTATGACCTTCTGACGAATACAAAGCCATTTTTTCTTTAATAGGCTAGAAGGTCATGGATTTTATTAAAATCTCATTTGAAGTTATATGCCTACATGACACGGTATCCTAGTGTATATAATGTATGCATGTTAAGTTTGCATCAATTTTCTACCAAGTGATCTTGTTTTCCATCATGGGGTTGTTTGGTTGGTTTTCCATAAATTCTGTATGGATAAAGTTGTCTGCGTGGATTAATTTGTCTGTATAGATTGGAAGTTTTTGTTTGGGAGAGGTTTTTCATTGATGGAAGGAGTGTATTTTTTTATTGGGAGGGCCATGTTTGGAAAAAAAACTTGGCTTTCTGCATAAAGCTCTCCCTATAAACTTACGGAATAAGCTACTTTCTATATCATTAAGCCACTACCAAACAGTCATGTATAGCTAACCGAATAAGCAGTGAGTCCCGGTAAGCTCATTAAGCTGCTAAAAAATAGACCCTTTAGAGAAGTGGCATTCTCACATGAAGTTCTCTCAATTAATATGTTTTTATTATTGAATTGTTGACAGGCCTGTGAGGGAAGAAATAGCTGCAAAATAGAAGTCTCTAATTCTGTATTTGGAGACCCATGTCCCAGGACTGTAAAAACCTTGGCTGTTGAGGCAAGGTGCAAACCATCAAGTTCATTGTATGCGGGAGTATCAGATATATGAGAGAAAAAACAGAATGTCAACACATGTGCAGTCTTCCACGGTCCAAATTTCTCGCATTGCTTTTGTGGTGAACATTTCTTTTGATCAAGTGTTTGGGTATTATAAGATGCCCAAGGATATGAAAATTTGAACTTATAGCAACTGTTTGTTGATTGAACATGTTACATTATGCTTCTTCTTGAGGCTATCTAGCTCGATTCCCTTCTCCAGCTGGTTTTGCAAAATGATCCAGCGTTCTTTGGTTGGTTTTCCATTAAGTCCTGTATGGATAAAGGCTGTCGGTGTGGATTAATCTGTCTATATAGATTGAGAAGGTTTTTGTTCGAGAGTTTTTCATAGAGGGAAAGAGCGTGTTTTTTAATTAAGAGGGGCAGGTGTGGAAAAACTTTGGCTTTTTGCATAAAGCTACCTCTTAAAAGCTTACTAAATAAGTTATTTTTTATGTCATTAAGCTACTACCAAACAGTCATGTGTAACGAATAAATAAGTTGTTAGTCTCATTAAGCTGCTAACAAACAGACCTTAAAGTTCTTATATTGGCTGTTTTGAACAACGGCATTCAGATGGCCATTGAGCTAAAAAAAAGTTTTGAGAAGGTCATGCTTTTAATTGAAATTTCATTTGAGATCCATTTATTTAAAGAATGCCCAATAAAAGTATGCACACATCCCACTCTAGACCCCATCCTATGCACATTGTTCTTTTGAATTTGGTTTGCAAACTCGGTGAATATTGGAATGTCTCTTGAGCGAACAAACTACAGAATTTCTGCAGTCTTCATGTGAACATAATCGTTTACTTGGATAAGGTGAAGATGACACGATAGACATACTCAGGAACCTATTGTTAAATGACCTTTCGATAGGTTTTTTATTTAAATACATAACCTTCTGACATGTCTTTTGCTAAATCCATGACTTCCTAATAGAGTTTTTTAAACCAATGACCTTTTGACATGTCTGAGAACGCGTTTGCTTAACAAGAGAATGTCTAATAACTTGTTAGAAAGTCATGGATTTAAAAGAACAATAGCTAAATAACTAGAAATACTCACCCAGAGAGGTGTTTTTCGTGAAGACCCTCAGATTGCAAAAAGTATGTGCAAAAATAATACCAATATTCACAGAATCCTTGCTTTTTTATTTTTCTGCTTTTCATTCAACAAATTGAGCATACAAACATCATATGCAAAAACAATGGGAAGGATAGGAAATAAATTCTCCCTATAGGACAACAGGAAGAGTTCTGCATACCATTTAACCAACAAGAAAGAAGGCAGTTTACAAACACCATGCTTATACATAACACCACCTTTGAGCTTTATATGAAGTAGTGTACAATCCACAACTTTGCACCCAAACAGCCAACAAGAGATCATTTTCTGCCCCACGGAAAGCAGCCGCACCCCTGAGAAAGAAAGTCGAAGCATTAAATGTGCTATATTGATGAAACTATAAACTGCAGAAAACGTGTTAAGCTGATAGATGCCGACCATTTACCTTTTTAGCCTCTGGTCTTTGACTATGAAAATAAGAATCATCACTAGTTATCCTTGGCGACTTTCCTCCGCCACTATGCTTTTCCTCTCGTACTTTGTTAAATATGTGAGAGTAACCTTCAGCTGAAGCGGGATCACTGTCATCCCAGTCACCAAATACTGGAACAGCAGTGCTGTCATCAGGCTGCCAAATCATATATATGTGTCATTACAATCGTATTCGCGAAATCCTAAAGCTTTCGCAGTTTAAGGAACTTACAGTTTCATCACCAAGGGTGACTTGTCTCAACCGGGATCTTCCAGGGGTTGAAGGGGCTGCATTATTGTTACCTTCGGATGAGACCTTTCTTTCCCACATCGGAGAACCTGTGTTACTCCTGGTCCCGACCCTTGGTTGTGTTGAGACCTTTTTAGGGTGTGTTGGGGAATCAAGTGATTTTTTCAGGTCACCTTCTCGGCTAACCTGAGTTTCGGCTTTTGGTCTTGATGCATTCTTGACTTCAGTTTCTTCTTGAGCCTGAAATGAAGGTTTGCTATTAGAGGGGTCAGGGATCTTGGGATCCTCTCTCTATCTGACCTTTTTTTCAAAGTGTATGATTTCATCATCATGCAACAAAGTAGCAAAAGGTTTAAATATATCATCAGAAAAGAAGAATTATTATGGTGAAGGGAATTATGCCACCACAATTCAAAAATCAAAGATGCATTTTTGCCTTTGTGTTGAAAGGTTATGTTTGGCAAACTTGCTGATAATCTAGCTATTAGCTGAACTGAAAACTTCGTTGTTGGCTAATAACATGAATAAACTAGATGATAAACCAATCACTATTAGTAAAAAGTAGCTAATAAGTTAGATGACAATGTAAATTGACCTAAAAGGAAATTTGGAAAGATATAAAGAGCATAACCAGAATAAAGTAGTAAAAAGCCCTCTTGAGCTTATTGAAAGCTATTTGCTTTTAAAAAAACTAACTTACAACTAACAAGACGGGGGTTTTCAATAATCTCAAAGAATAAGCTAGCATATGGTTGTCAAACATAGCCTAGATTGTGGCGTAGTGGTTGAGGTCTTGGGGGATGTGGTGGAATATCCCATTTGTCCAGGGTTTGATTCCAGGCTTACACAACAATTACGGCCACTGAGTTTATTAGGGCTAATTTATTGCAGTCACAATTTGTCTATATGCCTGGGACATCCTTTCAGAAAAATAGGAGACCTTTCGGGATCCATAAGCCAGTCATGGCTCTTCAAATAAACTTTGAGCCAAGGTCTTTTGAGAATCAAAAACTCACCTACCACTAGACCTGAAACTATGGGCCTCTTTGTTACCAGCTTAATGAGCTTAATGCGACTGACAGCTTATTCGGTCAACTATGCATGACTGTTTTGACAGTGGCTTAATGATATAGAAAGTGGCTTATCCAGTAAGTTTCTAGGGAGAACTTTATGCGAAAAACCAACTTCTTTTTCAAACATGTCCCTCTCAATTAAAAAACATGATCTTTCCATATACGAAAAACCCTCCCAAACAAAAACTTTCCCAATCTATACAGACAGATTAATCTACACTGACAACTTTATCCGTACATTACTTAATAGAAAACCAACCAAACAGCCTATGTTTGTTCACCTAAGGTGGATCAATTAGGGAAATCCCTCTTGTAACCATAGCTTGCACATTACAAAAACTTCCAATGATCTCAACACAATGTGATGGCAAAATTAGGCATCAAGAATTATGAATTCAGTTACTAAATCTAACAAAGTACCAATTCTTATCATCTAAATCCATGTTTCTTAAAGAAAACCCTCTCTCTAATTTGGAACAAAGCAAGAGATCGAAATGGTAATAAACCATGAGAATCATCACATGAGATCACGTTGAACCATCAACAGACCTATAATCGGAACATATAAAATTAACAGGACTCGATAATCTTCTCTTCTGACAAACCAAATGTATATTCAAAACCCTAAGAATCATTGAAGGATGAAGGTTATGAACATTATCTAGCTTCAATGTACGACATCCTGCACCAATCACAAAATGTGCCATAATTCAATCACACAAAACATTGATACGGAACTAAATTTAATGAAAACTGTAGAGTTCCCAAAATTAAAAGTTAGATGTTATCAGAAACAGTAGACGCGTTACATAATCATGATTAAGAGAGTTAATGTGTTGTTCAAGATATTGGAGATAGAACAGATCAAGTGAACAGTGGAACTTACTGCCATGATCGAGCAGGTTGGAGCTACGAGCAACTACCTCCCCGCTGTTAATGAGTCGCAAAAGCCAAAAGATGCAACTGAGAGAGGAGGGAAATGGAATGATGGGTGGAGTGACGGCCACCTGTGACCTTTATTCATTTTCCTGACTTTTCATGTTTGGCTGCCAAAGACGATAAGTTGACTCGACAGTGAAAACGATTTATATAACTGTCGCTTTCAACATTTACAACGTGACCCAAATAGATTTAAATTCATTTTTGTTAAAATAAGAATTTAGGGTACGTTTGTTATCCAGACCGATAGTTTCATGGAAGGACGACTTTTTGTTTTATCGAGAGGAAAAGGGGAAGAAACAGATTCATTAACCCACTCGAGTCGATTTTAAGAAGACGGGAGAGCTGACAAATACCTTCACATGTTACGAAGCTTCAGTCTGACGATCAACTTGACGCGAGAGAGGAAATAGGGAATAAATCTTTCTCAATGGAGGAAATGACTGAAAAACACAATTAGTCAATATTTGACAAGACAAAACAGATAAAGTGACTAATTTACTCTTAATGAGTTGTTTATATTTTTTATATATTTTGATTAGTTTATGTAATTTATGAAATTATAATAAAATAAATATTTTTATAATAATATACATACATCATTAGAAAGTTTTCGTTAAAATGATTAAAATAATATTAAAATAAAAAGTTTATATAGTTTCGAGTTTTTATTATACATTTTCTATATTGTTTTATTATTATTAATAATATTTAATAGATTACATAAATTAATCAAACTATATAAATTGTATAGAAGTAATATTTTGAGGACATTATAACGAAAGTTTAAGAAATATAAAATACAATAAATAAAATTTAAAGAGGTGGATGTATTTGATGTTTAGAAGATAATTAAGTTTTATTTGATGTTATATTAGTAATATATAAGTTTATTTCACTTTGTTCATAGAGTGGGGTGGAACAACATGTTCCACTTTGTTCTTGTCTATTTTACATAACAATCCTGTCAAATATGAATCTGTTTTGTTACGTCATGTTCATTGTACCAAAAACACTTTTACAAAATCCTTGAAGTTAAAATCACAACTGTTACATGAGATAAATTAGTCTTTAAAGTTTTCATTAAATTTATAATAAAAATACCGTCTCAATTCATCTTATTTCATCAGGTTTGGCGTATGAAATTTTTTCTTATCAAGTGATAATGTTATGATTCAAACAATAGTTATTAAGATGAATGTTTTTTATTTAGTGTTAAAAATAAGAATAGAAAATCAAATAAAAATGTATGACTTTTTCTAACATATTTCTATAACAAATTCGTTTTATATAACATGTGAATGAAAAAGAAGGCCTTTAAATTATTTGCATAATATTTGAATAATTGAAAAATAAGAGAAAATGGTTTGCATCATGTGAATTGCTTTGTGAGAAGTCCAGATTCAAAATCAAAACATGGTCTCATACAAAATATTATATGCAAAGATTCTTGTAATTATAAAACATATGTAACCATAAGCCTTTATGGTTTTTCAAAAATTATTTTTTGTATATATATATATATAGAAATGATCATGACTCTTCATACGGTCAAGATCGGATTTGACTGGTCAATAATTGTATCTTTAATTGATCTATTTTTATGGTTTTTACTGGTCAGAAATTGGGGCTATGCGAAAATAAGAAAAAGGTAGTTCCGTGACTTTTACAAATAGAAGAAAAACGGATTCATATGTAAACTCGTGTAATTCACATATGAACTATTTTAACTGATTCACATATGAACTTGTGTGATTCACATGTGAACTGGTTAACTGATTCACAAATGAAACCGTGTGATTCACATATAAACTAATTAATGGGTTCACATACGAACATGTAATTCATATGTGTATCACATGGGTTCTCATATGAGAACCCATTTGACACTTATTTGTAAAGGTTACGATACTACCCCTTTATCTTCCGCATACCCATACGAGAATTATCCGATCCTTCAAGGTCAAAGTCGCAAATATTGACTAGATGAAGGGCTACATTACTTATTTACTTTTCAAATATTTACCGCTTTTCAAATGAACTTTTCCCTCCCCCCCTCTCTCTCTGTCTCTCTCTCTCTATATATATAATATATTGCTGTTTTGATTATAACCAATGCTGTTTTTTAGTTGTTAGCTAATTAAAGCCACCTAATACAGCTCTAACTTGATAACTGGAATAATAATTGTAATTAAAAAAATACAAATGCATGATTGATACATTCTTGTGTCAAGTTATGCAAATGAAACAACCATAAAAATCCAATATTAACTTCATTCATTTTATACGTAACACGTATTTATAAGGGATTTTTTAATGATAAATCAAAAGCGAAGGTGATTGATAAATTTTTACCGAATGGTTTTTGGATTATTTTCACGAAAAAGTAACGTACTTTAACTTGATTTTTATTTTGGATATGTACTTTTAAAACTTCTATTTTTGTATTTAAGATGTAAAGTTTTAAACATTTAAGTACCCGGGTAACCAGTTGGAGTATTAACCGGTTATCATGTTGATGTAGGCGAGTAATTTGATTTCCAACTCAGTATTATTTTCTGACGTGGTTGGTAACATTAGTTTTTTTTTAATCTAAAATTAGTTTTCAACCGGTTATCCGAATACTTAAATATTTAAAATTTTACATCTTATATATCAAAATGAAAGTTTTAATAATTAAATTACGTTACTTTTTTATACAATTTGGCCTATAAAAAATAATAAAAGAATACAATCATATATTTTTGTAAATATTCCTTGACAAAAAAGGCTTTGAAAAGGTGTCATGGTTTTCTTTGAAGACGAGAGTCGAGACAAGAGACGACTAGTTTAATTAATTAATAAACTTTAACGATCAAAATTTTTTGATGAATTTAATAAAAACTTTTAAAATTTAATTACTTTGTCAAAACAACAAAACGATGTCGTGTATGCGAGTGTTTATAAAAAATCATAAAAGATAAAGCTTGTTTAATACAAAAATCAAATGTTTAAATGAGACAAAGTAAAAAAAAAAAAAAAAAAAAACTCATTTTGTTTGAGAAAAAAAAATATCTAAACAGTTTCAAATATTATATCTGAAATGTTTTTTTTATGCAAAGGAAATATCCAGACATCCATGTTGGCATTCTATAAACTGTTAAAAGTCGAACCTTTTTAGAATTTCAAATTTTAAATGTTTTCATAGTTATTTTATGACGTCTATAACATGACATAATAGAATTTGGTATAAATGGTTGTTTTGACCAATTGTTATTCCATCCATCAATCATTTCTAACATCTTTTGAGAAGTGTTAAGTGCAAATACACTCATCCAAAAGAAATCATATATAATTACGGTTATTTGAGAATTTTGTTCGGTAAGCATTTTATAAGTGGGTGATTTAAAGTGAGCAACCCACTGCAATAAGGGGAACTGATTCTATAAACCAAATGTAATACATATCGCAAAGAAAAGTTTATGATTCCATAAAAGTGTACATGGCCGGTTAAACCACTGTAAATATCGTTCTTTGTATTTGATATTGATTCTCATTTCTCATTGGAACTTTGATTTGTGCTTAAAACAACAATTTCGTACAAATATTACACCTACAACTAGTATTAGAGCATGTGCTCATTTACGGTTTTAAATCTCGAAGCATCTTCTTTTTTTTTAGAAACCCTGTAATTTCTTTTAAAACCTTAAGTACATGACTTGTTCATTGAAATTTAATTTTTATTTTGAAGTATTACTTTGAAAGAAAAAAAAATATATTATATGTTGGACTCATAGTCTTGAATGCCAAGCGAGAGAAGCCACAAGGGTGGTAACAGGATGGATAAGGATAAGGGGATGATAAAAATCAACCTGAGTTCGAATCATGTCATCTACACATACACTTGTGATCACCGGGAGATTTATCTCAAGATTATTGGCAAAGCCCATAGCTGCAATTGACCATGAGATTAGTCTGGACGAAGAACTGGTAACTCCGTAGAAACGAGAGCTGGCAAAGAAGAGGATGAGGGATCGTCTTCTTCAAGTTCAAACTTCATGGATCGTCTTGAGAAGTGCATCCTTAAAAGTACCTTGACAAAGAATGATTTGATAAATGAATTACGATTTTATTTGAAAATCAAAACCGAGATAAAAAGACATATTTTTACGGAAAAAAAAAAATCGTACACTTTGGAAAAGTTTTTTTTTTTTTTTTTTTTTGTAAGTGTTTGTAAAAAATTACTAAAGATAATGTTCCAACCTTTGCAAGAAAGTTATTTTAAACAGTTACTCGGTCAAAATCAAGTTGTGCGTGAAGGAAATCCATGTTCATGTCAAGATTTTGCAGATTGTTCTATGAACAGTTATAATTTAGATTTTTTTCATACTTTTTAAATCCGAATATCATGCAATTATCTGTAACGTTATATAATTTACATTATATATTTTCATATTCATGTTTTGTATTTAAAATTGATTTGTGAACCAAACATCCTTTCCTTCGATATTGCAACTACATTTCATGTGTATGGAATGTTTTTTCAATTCAACTTTTTATTTCATAAAAAAATTGGCATAAAAAAAAAGCAAACTATAAATTTTGTCCGTTTCATTTGTCGTATAATTTTAAAATTATAAAATGGTCATCATGGTTTATAAAAGACATTTGAGTTTAGTTTTTCATCTAACGATCGTTAAATGAGGGGTATTTTAGTCAGTTTATAGGTTTTTTTGTCTTTCACCCAATCAAAAACCATCAGGAACAAAATCATAAAAATGGTTTCGATGAAGTAAAAGATAAAATGATGAAAATACCCTTTATTTAACAAAAATATTTAACAATCGATAGAGAGAGATATCATATTTGAACGTTTTTATAAACCATAATGATTATCTTATAATTAAAAAAAATGTAGAGATAGAAAAGTGTTATTCTCAATAAACAAAAAAGGCGAAATTTATTGTTTACTCTAAAGAAAATGATAATGTAAAACCCGGTGTCCCACTCACTCTCCGGTTCAAGTGGCTTTCATCTATTATGCACCAAGCACCATGGCCTGCAAAAGGTAGAAACGGTTCGAACCGGTACTGACTCGGGCGGGTAATAAAGCCCCTGGCTATCCTCGAACCGGAGAGGCGGCTATATACGAGCTTATTCTTTCCGGCTATAACATACTCCCCTAACAGCAGTAACGACTCTTTCCTCTCAATCAAAACCCTACAAACGTCTCAACTGGTATAAGATGGGAGATGTATTCGACGGTTCCGGCTCTGGCTCTGGCGATGGCGACGTTCGGAAAGCACAGAAGCTTCCAATTCCGGGCAAAAGGAATATACTCATCACCAGTGCTCTTCCTTACGTCAACAACGTTCCTCATCTCGGCAACATCATCGGCTGTAAGTATAGTATACATAGGGTTTGATTGATTGATTATGAACTGAATTTGTTCTTATCTGTAGGTGTGTTGAGTGCGGATGTGTTTGCTCGTTATTGTCGACTCAGGGGGTACAACGCTATATACATGTGTGGAACTGATGAGTATGGAACGGCAACTGAGACCAAAGCTTTGGAAGAAAATTGCACGCCAAAAGAAATATGCGATAAGTAATTGAGTTTCTCCATTTCATGTTATTTGATTTTTGTAATGAATTTACACTTGTTGAATGTGAAGGTACTGGAATCTGTGACGAATAGTTAAGTTTGGATTCAGATTCTAATCTCTCTACACTAAAATGTTGATTTCTTTTCGTTTTTGCTTTTATTTGTCTTTCCAGATATCATGCAATTCATAGGGACGTCTATAAATGGTTTAACATAAGCTTTGATGAATTTGGACGAACTTCAACCCCACAACAGACCGAAGTTTGCCAAGCAATATTTAAAAAGTTGATGGAGAACAATTGGCTTTCTGAGAACACAATGCAGCAGGTGTGTAGATATTTTTGTTTGTATCCAACTTGATCCGAGCTTGTAAAAATGTATGGCCTCCTTTTGGCTATACTTGTTCTGAACTCCATAGATATCTAATAAGCTATGCATATGTCTTACCCTGCAGCTTTACTGCGATACATGTGAGAAATTTTTAGCTGATCGGCTTGTTGAAGGTACCTGTCCAACACCAGGTTGTAATTATGATTCTGCACGAGGAGATCAATGTGAAAATTGCGGCAAATTATTAAATCCAACAGAACTCGTTAATCCTAGATGCAAGGTAATTGTTCACCGGAATCAACAAGAAAACAAGTGCTAACTACTAATGTAAGATCCCACATTGGTTGGGGAGAGGAACAAAGGTTGCCTTATAAGGGACTTGATATCTCCTCTATTAGACGCATTTTAAAACCGTGAGTCCAGGTGTGTGGACAAAATGGGTAATATCTGGTACGGTTAGCCTGAGATGTTACAAATGATTGTAAGATCCCACATTGGTTGGGGAGGGTAACAAAGGTTGCCTTATAAAGGGGCTTGATACCTCCTCTATTAGACGCGTTTAAAACCACGGTTGCTGGGATGTTACAACTAAGTTTCGGATAGTGAATAAACAGAAAGAAATAGAAGAGGCTTTCTCCCTCTTAAGTTGTTTTGTTATGTTGATTTTTAATTTGTTTTCTCCAACGAAATTCATTTTTATTTAGCACAATAGTTAGTTATATTCCATATTTAGTATCTATGTTTTATCATGAAGTCTTCCTTTTCATTTTTTACTTTTTGTATATGTTCTGATGTGGAAAAGAGTGTCCCATGCCTGCAGCTGCTAAATAACACCCGCACTGTAACAATGTCTTGGTTCAGTTGGACTGGATTGGGGGAAAGGTTGTGGAAACCTTCGGATAAAACCTTTTCGTACGTTGTTAGAACTGGTTTTAAATGGTTGGAGATCCTGGGGGCTACTTTGAGAGATCCTAGTTCGATGTTGATTTCTGAAATATTTCTTGTTAGCAAGTTCAAGAAGCTACTTGCACTCATAAGTTATTTTCAGCAAGCATGTTTGGCAGTGGATATTCTGCTGAATTTTAATCTCCCCATGTCTGACCATACAAGATTCAATCACCAATCATTGATATTTTAAGCATATTGATTTTGTGGACACAAGTCATTTGCATTAGCTTGCTACACTTGTATGCATGCATGATAAAAAGGACAAGGGAAAACAGAGAGGCACTCAAATGCTTATACCTAAGGAAGAAGTGGGAGTTTCTATTCCCTTATGCATATATTATAGGAATCTGAACATATGTATCCTTATTTCTTAGTACATTCGTTTCTTATGAATTCCTGTTTTTGACTCCCAATTTTGGCCTGCAAATAGGTCTGTGCAACCAGTCCTCGTATCCGTGACACAAATCACTTGTTTCTTGAACTCCCATTGTTGGAGGGAAAGCTGAGGGAGTACATCAGCAGCATGTCTGTGGCTGGATCATGGAGTCAGAATGCTATTCAAGCAACAAATGCATGGCTTAAAGAAGGATTGAGACAACGATGTATTACTAGAGATTTGAAGTGGGGGGTTCCTGTCCCTCATGAGAGATTTAAAGACAAGGTGAGAAAGAGTTAAGTGGCCTGTCTTTCCATCACACCTACATTATATGTTAATTACTTCCCTCTTCTTAACAGTCAAAATGAGACCTCCATCCTCTGTCTCTTATAGTAGTGTATATTTTCTTTGTGTTCTTGTATTGTGCAATGGTCAGGTTTTCTATGTATGGTTTGATGCACCGATTGGATATGTCTCAATCACTTCGTGTTACACACCTGAGTGGGAGAAGTGGTGGAAGAATCCTGAAAATGTGGAGTTGTATCAGTTCATGGGCAAGGATAATGTACCCTTTCACACTGTAAGTGCATTTTATTTAGATACATGGTTATTTAGTGTTAATGCGTAATCTCCTTTTGCAAATATAACTGTTTAAACCATATGATCATGTATACTATAGTTGATGGTTCACATAATTATTTCTCTGTGATTATTGCGATCAATATCATATCTGCAGAAATTCAGAATATGATGGAATTTAGAGGTGGCCATAGTCGCATAATTTCTTAACCTCATCTGCTCAGTTAAACCTTTAGTTGTTTCTATTTCTGTTTCCTCACCCAACAGCAGAGAATATCTCACATAGCAGTTCTCTTGTTTATGCATCTTCTATGTTGAATATTCTCATGCATAAATTCTGCCAACACCTTTGACATTGTTTCCTCATTAAGTTTGAAACAATTATTCCAGGTAATGTTCCCCTCTACGCTTCTCGGAACTGCTGAGAACTGGACTTTGATGAAGACTATCAGTGTTACAGAGTACCTAAACTATGAAGCAGGTTGGTTCTATGCCATCTTAGGAGCTATGCTTTTCCCTCTACAATGGACACATGCTCTGTTTATTGGTTTTGGTCATACTCGTGTTTTTCTCTACATGCTGTATCACCTTACTGTTATCTTCAAATTGGGATGCCACGTGTAGGTAAATTCTCAAAGAGCAAGGGTGTAGGAGTCTTTGGTAATGATGCAAAGGATACCAATATTCCTGTAGAAGTGTGGCGATACTATTTGCTAACTAATAGACCAGAGGTAGAAGATTTGTTAAGTATATCATTGAAAATATCATCTCACTCTCAGTGACTTTTTTTTTCCTCATTCCCTTCTTGTTCTTTTTTTGTTTGATTATTGGGTTTCCATGTCCAGGTATCAGATACTTTGTTCACATGGGCAGATTTGCAAGCAAAGTTGAACAGCGAATTGCTAAATAATTTAGGCAATTTTATCAACCGTGTCTTGAGCTTTATTGCTAAAGATCCAGGTTGGTAATTGGCATCAGTGTTATCTGAAGTAAATGGATTAAGGGAGCTATATATTCTTAAAATCTTTTCTTTGTCAGTAAAATATATTTTTGATCTTTGTCCAAAGTGGCAAAGGGATGTTTTTTATGCTACATGATAACTCTTATCCCTTATGAATGTTGTAAAATTTACTACTCATATGAAGTATGGCCATGAAAGATCCTACAAGGATTGTCTTGAAACCTAAGACTGTGACTCCTCTAGGTTTTTGAGTATTTCTTTTTATCTCTTATCTTCTTCCTTGAAAGTGGCATGGCGTTATTGTTGCACTCAACGAATATCTTGTTTGAGGATTATTGGTGATCTTTTGATTCCATCTGAATCTAGTGCAACTCCATTGACAGATTCAGGATCTGGTAAAGGTTCAGGATACAATTCCATCATTCCTGATGCTCCAGGTGCCGAGACACATTTGTTATCAAAGACACTGGGAGATAAAATTGGTACTTATGTGGAGCAATATGTGGAAGCCATGGAGAAGGTAATTGATGATAATGGAACATACCAGTTTTCTGCCTGCATATTACTACATAGCCTGTCCCAAGCCAGGATAAAGGAAGATGTGCAGCAGGCCTTGCTGGCCTGCAGTGTATCTAGATATTCCCATTATGATAAGTTATCACTGATATAAGTATGTGTTTTACGATTGCCATAGGTCAAGCTAAAGCAAGGACTGAAAATTGCAATGAGCATCTCTGGTGAGGGAAATGCATATTTACAAGTAAGTCTACAATTTTATAACATTGTCCATGACCGTTCCCCAGACATCAGACAAAAAAACACCAAGATGATCGTCCTGCCATTGCTTTAGAATGAATGGAGTTATTAATTGTATGTAGGAAAGTCAATTCTGGAAGCTTTACAAGGAAGACCTAGCTTCATGTTCCATAGTCATGAGAACTTCAGTGGGAGTAGTTTATCTTCTTGCTTGCTTGTTGGAGCCTTTTATGCCATCATTTTCCATCGAGGTAAGTAATTTGCACTTTCTTCTGGAACAGAGGGCCACTGGTTCCATGAGACAACATTTTGATCCTCCAAATATCCTTTCAATTTGTTTGCTACAGGTACTCAAGCAGCTTTCTTTACCCCTCGAGCTTTCCCTGTCTGATGAGAAAGGAGATGTAGGAAAGGCGAGAAGGCCATGGGAGATCATACCTGCCGGCCACAGAATTGGGACTCCTGTGCCATTATTTAAGGAACTGGTATATATGTTATTTTGTTACAGTGCCTTAGCTGTTCTCTTCTGATGATTACCTGACGCATAATGAGAATCATGCATCAGCTTACTGTTCTTGTATGTGTGCCATTCATGTGATGTGCAGAAAGATGAAGAGGTGGAGTTCTTCAGGGCAAAGTTTGCTGGCAGTCAAGCTGATCGAGCAGACCGAGCTGTGAAGGCCGAAGCTGAAGCGAATAAAGTTGCTGCACAATTGAAAAACACGAAAATTTCCGGTTGAAGTTTTATCCCTGGCCCTTTTTCATTTGTATGTGTGTATGTGTGTGTTTGTCGTTTTTACCAGCCCCTCATCTTTTGCTTCCCTTCGTTTTGTGCATTATTAGTGGGTAAAATGAAACCAACCTTAAGGGTGATGACAACGTATGCCCTCTTTGGTCCTGTTTTCCTCTTCATTACTTGTCTAAACGTGAGAATAAATTTGAATGCTTATTCTCTGGGTCATTTCAATGGCCCAAAATTTACGTTCCATTCACAAAAGTGAGGAGATAGGGGCTGTTTACCAAACGCTAACGGGATAAGCACTTCCTGGGTCACTTACCTTACCAGGTGAGCATTACAACAACGAGCAAGAATCTTACCCGATGATGGTGGTGACTCTTACCCGCTTACCGGATAAGAGACGCCTATCAAACAATCTTACTATGCCATTTTGATGGTGAGAGGTGGTGACAATATGTTCGGGAAGTAACTTAATTTGAAGAGTATTGATTTGAACCACAATTCACATGTGGGGACTGGGATGAAACTAGCACGCAATGGAGTTTTTTTGCCAATTCTAGGTTTGGTCTAATTTTACCATCCCACTTCCGGAAGCATCACAAATGTAGCGTTTTCTTATCATCTTCTTCCAAATTTGATTGCGTATGAGGCTGGAAACCGAGGTTGCTTATATTGGCTGATAAGAGCTAGGTTTATTTGAGATTGTAGCTTACTCTCTTTATACTTTTGCAGATAAAAGTGGAAAGAGAGAACGCTCGACTAAACCTGCAGCTGAAGCCAAACCTAAGGCTGCTGCCGAACAGGAAATTACCATCAACCGACTTGATATTCGTGTTGGGCTTATTACAAAAGTTCAGAAGCATCCTGATGCTGATTCTTTGTACGTGGAAGAAATTGATGTTGGTGAAGCGCAACCGAGGACTGTCGTTAGTGGACTTGTCAAATTTGTTCCCCTCGAGGAGATGCAGGTTCTTTCAACACAAATCTAGCACCAATTATGATTATAAATTGTAGAGTCACACCCGCCCATGGATATACACACAATTTCTGTCAGGAGCTTTTTCACTATCTTATGTGGCCGAAAAGCTCTTCAAAAAGTTCCATTATGGATGCCCTTAGAGAAACTCATCACATTATCATTCCAGGAGTTCTCATGATGTTTGTCAATTTTTCAGAATCGGAAGGTCTGTGTTCTCTGCAACCTGAAACCTGCAACCATGCGAGGAATTAAATCACAAGCAATGGTTCTTTGCGCTTCCACCAGTGATCACACCAAGGTAAGCTATTCAGTACTGCTACTATAGGTTTAGTTCTCTAGTTTGTGTTTCTTTCGGTGGTCAAGGCCTTAGCCACTTTTCCCTTATCCACCGAATCCTTATGAAAGTAGTGTTACCATCATGTCTTTATCTAACCGATGCCACTACATCGTAAGGTGGCACTTAATGTCAGAATTAATTATATGTCCAAATGGTTATGAAAACGTACACAAAGTCATTAATTTTTAGAAAACATCGCCCTCAAATAAATCACTAGTGGCACAAAAACATGATTTTCTTTTTATTTACGGTTAGAGGCGGACCCAGGAGGATATCTTTGTGGTTGCTTCGTAGCAAACAACTAAACAAAATTGTAGGCATTCTTAAGGGCCATAAACAAAATTACACTATGCCCGAAAATTTTTGTGGTTGCACCAGGACCCCCCCTAAATCCACCCCTGTTTACAGTGGCACACATATAACAAACCCACTGGCACCCCCTTAATCCGCCCCTGTTTACGGTGGCACACATAACAAACCCGTTTTTGTACAAAATGTTGTGATTGTTAATGTTTTCGTGTCAGATAATCGAACTCGAAACATTTCCGTTATGACAATTGCTAAAATGTGAAGGATATCAATACAATTGCAGGTTGAACTGGTTGATCCACCACAATCTGCCATTATTGGAGAAAGAGTTGCTTTTTCTGGGTTTGATGGAGAGCCTGATGTAGTATTGAACCCCAAGAAGAAGGTTTGGGAGACCCTCCAGGTTGATCTACATACAGACAACGGTCTCGTGGCATGCTATAAAGATTTGCCGTTTACCACATCTGCAGGTGTTTGCAAGGTTTCATCCATTTCTGTTGGATCTATACGATGAACGATTTGTCAGCAAGATTATCTTCAAATTTTCTCAACTCATTTTCTTTTACATAGCATAGTGTTTGATTTTAAAAACCATCTTATCTATTGGCTCGACAAGTGATGCTGCTGTGGCCTGTGGGTGATCGTTCATACCAGGGTACCGATAAGTATACATGGTTTGGTACAACCATTTTGTTTGACAGTTTTCTATTTTCTTGATTTTGGTTGTTATTTACATATTTACAAAAAGGAATTTTCATCAATCGATTCAGTGGAATGTGTTGCAATTGATTCATCATTAACCGGTGACATAGAAAGACGGTGATTGGCTGATTTCAACTATAATTGCAGTTTCACAACGTCGCATTTACCAAATGTACGTTTATCGGGTAAGGGGCCGTTTACCAAATGCTTACCGGCAACAATCACCACCCTCGTTTGGTCCTTGTCTTTCTCTTACCATGTAAGATTCTTGGTCCTTGTTATGTTCACCTGGTAAATAATTGGGCTTACCAAGATAAGTATTTAGTACCGGGTCACTACCTTACCGGACGATCATAGCAAGGATCGAGAATCTTACTCAGTAAGATCTAAGAGGGGATCAACAAATCTTACCCAGTGAGAGTGGTGAATATTGCCAATGACACACTTACCAACAATCCGTTTTGATAGTTGGGAATGTTACCCGATGAGGTGAGGATGGTGTATATCAAATTACAATAGATTTGTAATTTTTTGGTTTCATTTCATCCTCCTTCCTATTCCACCTACTTCAGTAGAACAAAAAGTCTTTTCTATCCCATCCAGTAGTCCCATGTTGTACCAAACGTGTCTTTTCTATCCCATCCAGTAGTCCCACGTTGTACCAAACGCATAACAGTAAGTGTTTGTCCGATGTACCAAACGTAGAACAGTAAGTTTATATCCGATCCTTTGTGACGCCAATCTTTGGCTTCCCCAATTTGGCTCGAAATTTTAAAAATAAAGAGTGAAAAAATATATGCAGCAAGAGTCGTGTAAGAACATAAACAAATAAACATTCTTTCAGAATTCCCTGTAAATGATGCACCCAAACAAGTACTTGTCAATTTTCACAAAATTTATGCCCGCTAAGGACCCATTGATTTCACAGTGTATTTTGTGGTTGCTGTTGTATGTATATATCAAGAAATTTTCTCAACTTTGGGGGATATTCTCAATAGGATCCCCCTAATTTCCCCAAAACCCACCTAAATAAGGGATTGAAAGTTTAAAGTAGATTAAATGAAAGAATGTTTGCAATCTTACATTTCTTCATAGAACAAGATGTAGGCCTCGCACTGGAGAACTTCCTCCAAAGAAACCTCTCGGACATGAGCATCACTGGTATGGTACCATAAGCAATCATCATCGTTACCTTTTGCACCTCCTCTCACGTATGCAACATAGTGGCCGCCCCTCATCGTCCCTAAATGCTCCACCACCCCTATCAACCGGTATCTGCATTCCCCTCCATCTCTGCAGCAGCTGTACAATCCAAAGCAACAAATGTTCATCAATAGGCGATGGAACGAAAACTTCTTGTTAAATTAGATTAGTGAGAACGGACAAGATTGATAAATTACTAAACTACCATGTCAAATTAAGACCCTAAAACCTTGTACAATTCTCTCAACCCACTCTCGTTTGTCGAGTCTGGCCCATCCTGTCCCATGTACCTAATGCACCAGACTCCACATGGTTCAATCATAAACTCGGGAAGAGAAACAATAACGATCATCATTCTTCAGCAGGCATGTATTTTCATATCACAATATTACCCTTAAATCCCAGGCCGAGTATTATGGCTTCTTGGTGGTCAACTGGTCATGATACATTGGTGCGTATTTTAGCCAGTCAAAAACATGGTAACAAATACATGTTTATACATAAAAACCATATACATATTCAGGGGCAGACCCACTCTATTGGATACTTCATTCCTCCGTCAGTGTAAAAAACTATAGGGTCGTGAAAGGTGCCACAGTATCATTTTGTTCTATACAACCATATATATTTGAAACTACAATGATAACACAAGTTTCCCTAGGTAGAGTTGGTTTTGCATGGCTTTTCTCCCACCCAAGACCTGGGTTCAAATCCTATTTGTGTCATTTTCCTTGGTTTTCAGCTTTTAATTTCATATTTATTATGTTTCTGAAAAAATTTGCAATAGAAGACTTGAACGCAGGACCTCACATATGAAAAGCAAAAAAGTAACCAATAGACCAATGATGATTGTGAAAAATATTCATATCTTTGTTTTTTTATAGTCAAATGGTCCACCAAAAGATTTCCAGGTCCGCCTCTGTACATATTGATGCAAGTAATATTCTTAAACCTACCAACCTTGCTTGATAACTGTCTAATCCATCAAAAAATTCAAAAAATAATTCATTTTTACATGAGAAAACTTGACAAGTTTTGGATGAAAGACTTGTTCTACACACAGCAAAGGGAAGGAATAGATGATCAAATAAAATAGAGAATCATACCTAGGATCCATGTAGGGCTTAAGATCGATGGTATCTTTGAAATCAACATGACCATTTAACTTGCTTAAACAGCCACGAGCATCTTGACTTAACCTTTTCAAATGAATGGTCAGGATTGGTGGAACTCTATTGATAAGAATCCTCTTAGATGCATCCCTCGTCACCTTGACACTACTAGAATTCACCTCCTCATCCTCAACCCCGTTGAAATCACGTCGCCTAGCTAGGCAGTTGGATATTCTTTGCTCAACTTTCTCATTCTTACATTTATTATCGTGTTTGTTTACTTGACAAGAATCAGTATCTTGAATAATACAACTCTCTTCACTGGATGCTGTAATTGAACTTGGATGTTGTGATAGTTCTGGACTCCCACCATTTACCACATTTCCCCTTTCTTCTAACTCACATACTAATCGACTGCAATCACTTTTATCATGCAACCAAGAATTTTCATCAGAATTACCAAGTACAGCACTTACTTCAACAGGGTTTCCAATCCCATTAGAGACAGATGGAATACTTGGAATTCTATGTTTGGCTCCATTTGAAATGGGTTCATGCAGTTTGTTCTTTAGTCTCATTCTCTGCTCTAACAAAGCTTTTGAACATTGCTCACACTGCCAGGCATGTTCGGTTTTCTTGAGAAGCTCAGAGGTTGTGAAATAAGTTAGACATTTATCAACAGAGACCTGAGAATTGGTATTGTCAACCTCATCAGAATCAGACTCGCTTATGTTTCTGGCCATAGGACCACTTTCTACATATCCGTTTAAGGGACCCACAGTTGGCCCAGCAACAACCTCAGGTTCATCAAAGAGACCCCCAAAGCCATCAAAATCCGAAGGTTCTTGTTCATAACTTACAGAAGACAATGTCGCCTCATTGCCATTACTGGTTGGTATGAGTTCTTCGTAAGAAAGCAATATGATTTCTGATTCTTGAACTTTCAAGGGCTGCTCATTTTCCCAAAAAACATCATCATTGTTTCCAGAATTTTGAACTACTGACGAGTCTTCGTTTTGTGATGCCATAATATGACCATTAGACGAAGAACTAGGTTGAAGGTAGTCCAACCACGAATCGTCTGCCAAGGGTGGTGTTTCCTCCAAACCAAGGGAATAAACCTGCTTGCTAGCTTCCATCATCTGCTGCAATAATGGCTCATCCTGAACCAGCTGAGTCTTGCCGGTGTACTCGGTAACCATATCATCACCAGGGCATGCAGCTGCATCATGATTACTTAATACCATAGTTGGCTCCAGATAATCCAACCATGATAAAATATCAGATGAATCCACTGTTCGATTACCATGGCTATTCAACACAGTGGCCGGCTCTATGAGTGCCAAATTATCTGAAGGAATACCTGATTCCTTGATTGTAATCTCAGAGATTTTCTCAATTGCATTCCCTTGAGCTACATTTTCATTTGCAGCTGAAACATTCTTATCACCCACACCGCCAAGGAAGGCAGATTCTGGCTGTGTTGAATCACCTGAAGGAACAACCTTTTTTTCAGCAGGCAAGTAATCACTAGTGGTTGCAATGATTGGAACACCGTCAGCTGGTGAGGCATTGGAAGCTCGATTAGTTTTTGTCCCAAACTTTCCACGTCTCTTTGGAGGTGGTTTGGTTTTCCTGGATCGAGAAACTGATGGCATCCTTTTAGATGGAGATTTCTTGGCGGGTAATGGTAATGAAAGATCTAAATATGGCTCGTATACAATTGAAGTATGACCACATTCCAAACAACTAACAGAGCTAGACGTTTGTCCCCCAAATATGGCATCTACAAAAGTAGGAGTCTGTTTTGGAACAGTGCTTTCCCTTTCAGAACACGGAGCAGAGTTTTGTACACCAGACTCCTCGTTACAAATTCCATCCAGCAAAAAGCGAAGCAACTCATGACTATCCTGCTGTTGATATCCCCTAAATTGAGGAGCCATGGCACAAACAGAGTTGAAGAGAGACTGCGGGTTGATCACATTTTTCGCACTTGTTAATGGATTAGTTTCAACAAAAAGCTTCTTCAAAGAAACTGAGAGAGACCCAACAGGTTCCTCCAATCTCAAGAAGTAATCCCGCAATTTATCCATTGCTAAAAGATTTTGCAATATTGAATTAAAGAAACAAGTGTTCCCTAAATTAACCAAACCCTTTACCATATAGCCACCACTGTTTTCTGAAATAACTTGGGTACTTACTGACTTCATCTCCCTCGTGACATCGCCACTTCCAAACCAAACGTCCTCCACATTAAAGGAGTTTTCTGACGAAGACCGAGCCTTTAATAATTTAACAATGTCAGATAAAGCATCTTTCTGTTCTCCTCCATTTTCTTCTGAAGTTTGAACAGGAATAAGCGTATTGCAAGTGAAGCACCACCGGAGATTAGGATTTGCAAATTGGACAGCCAACGGATGATGATTCTGTTTGGCATGCCGAGTTGCATGACTTTGAGGTGTTGTGGGAAGCCCAACACCCCCACATGTACAATGTCCACATTCCAAACACACCCAAATGGATTTGGACTCAGATGCTGAACCACTGGCCTTTTTCTTGCCATGTTTGCCTTTTACTTTACTTGCCCTTCTATCAACCACCCCTTCCCTACAATCATCACATTTAAGAGACTCGAGTGATGCTATCTTCGAGGAGATTTTATCCAAATTAACGCCCGTATCAAGATGGGGACATACTCTTGCCTCTTTCACAACCGAAACTCCATCAACCACCATTGTTGGAATTATCTTTTGTGAAACATTTTTGGGAGAAGAGGTTGAAAACTGTTTCTCCTTTTGAGCATTTCGGGTACTTTTCTTCTTTACTCTCTTCCCCATTAATCCCTAAAAGTCATGGTTCAGTAACAAGGTTAACAACACAGAAAAAGTAATCAAAGTAAACAATAAGAACAAGATTGCAAAGATTTCAGGAACTCCAAAGCCAACTCATGGACTCGTACAAAATAATCAACTAAGAGGTCCAAGACATAAGTCATAACTTAATTCTCAAACAGAAACCTCATCAACCCTTTTACACAAAATTCGAATATCACTGGGCATGAATATAATATTCATGATATCATGAACATCAAATTCTGTCTTGTATTTCCAGTTTACGTAATTTAATCAGAACCCAATCGTTTTTTCTGCATTTGCCTAGTCTACTCTCCAAACATGTTACGCTATTTTTTCGTATTTTTTTATGGGCAAGACATATGCACTTCCTATTCAAAAGTTTGCCTGGTCAAAATGAGTTTCTTCTTGCTCTTGTATTTGTTCAAATATGTTAACATCTAACATGGTATGGCATAAAATTGTCTTTTGTCCTCTTTATCCAACTTCTAATTTATGAATGTTCATTCTCCGATCTGCTCAAATAATCTGCTACCTAAGAGGGGATAATGAAGACAAACAAGAGAAACGTTGTTTTTCTGTCAAAGGAAAACATCAATATTAGTTCTACAAACATTAAACTGTGACTAAAATTTTCCATTAGAGCATAAATTGACCAAGTATAGAGATTTTTTTCATAGAGAAAAATTCTCCATTTCTATGAAAGAAAAAACAAATAATGTTAATCTTGTCATCATATATATGGATAAGACTATTAGATGCAAATTCTTGGTGTTATTATGAATCAAACTGTGAGAAATTCTCATGTCCAAATTCTCGAACTAGTATCCCCCAATCATAATCCATAACTTCAATTCTTTACCACAAATCACAATATGGACGACAAATTCAGATGTTCAAATCTACTATCCATTGTCCTGACTTAGGGCAATCGGTAAGCAACCAACAAATAACACAGACAGAAACCAAAAACAAACGAGATCGAAATAATCATGAAACATTCAACAATTGAAGTTTCAAAATACAACGATTGTAGTAACCAAAAAAGCTCGAATAACTAGATTTACAAATCAGCAAATGAGAAAAACTTAGTCATGTCTGAGTTCTCAGACTAGTATTCCCAATCATAATCCATAACTTCAATTCCTTTACCACAAATCACAATATGCATGACAAATTCAGATGTTCAAATCTACTATCCGTTGTTCTGACTTAGGGTATCCCGTAAACAATCAACAAATAACACAAACAGAAACCAAAAAGAAACGAAATCGAAATAATAAATAAACATTCAACAACTGAAGTTTCAAACTACGACGATTATAGTAACCAAAGAAGTTAGAATAACTAGATTCACAGATCAGCAAACAAGAAGAACTTACTCATGTCCGAATTCTCGAACTAGTATTCCCACATAATCCATAACTTAAATTCCTTTACCACAAATCACAATATGCATGACAAATTCAGATGTTCAAATCCACTATCCATTGTTCTGACTTAGGGTATTCAATAAGCAACCAACAAATAACAGAAACAGAAACCAAAACCAAAACCAAAACCAAAACCAAAACCAAAACCAAATGAAATCGAAATAATCAATAAACATTCAACAATTGAAGTTTCAAACTACAACGATTATAGTAACCAAAGAAGTTCGAATAAACTAGATTCACAAAACACCAAAAGAGAAGAACTTACTTGGTCGCCGCCAGAGCAGGAGGTCGACTTCACAGGAAAAAAGGGACGAGATGTCGGCGATCAGATGCCAGGATACGGCGGTGCCGGCAAGCAGATGCCGGAAGATGCGACTCGATCTAAGGCTGAGTCCAAGCCTTGGACTGTGGGCAGGCTCGAGCAGTCAAGGGGGTGTGGGGGGTCATAGAGAGGGTTTCCTTGAGACGGTGAGGGCTGTTTCTCTTCTCATCAACTAATAAATTTATAAACTCACAGTGCGACCAAACTTTCAAACAATTGTCACCAATTTTTATGGCTCTATCTACTTATCTTATTAAAATAATTAGATAATCAATTTATTATTATAATAAATTATTACAGCCTTTAAATTCAAAAATCAAAATCTTTAAAAAAAATTATATTTATCTGATTCTTTATTTTAGAGATTATAACACCAATTATATTATTATAATATTTAATATATTGAATAAGATGTTATTCTCTCACAAATATATTTATTTTAAAATATTTTTATTGATAAGAATAATAATATATAAGATATTAAATCTCACTTAGAAGTAATCATTAATAGGAAAATCTTCGTATTTGATTTTTCAAAACTGCTCGGTCTGAGCGGTCTGGTCTGAAAAACTTCCAAACTACTTGGTCCGGTCTGGTATGCGGTTTGAAGAGCGGTCTTGATCGAATCGACCACCAAATATACACATATATTAGTTATATTTAGGTTTTGTGTCGTAAATTCAACGTTATGGCACAATTAAAAAAGTTCGTCCAAGACATCATGTTTTTGGTTTTCATTTCTCTATTGATAGTGTCTATTTAAATTGACAAAATTCCGAAGTTAATCAAAAATCAAATCCAAAATTCCAAATCGTTCTTCGACTTGTTCAATGTTTGTTCAAAATTCCAACTATTATCAGTAGATTTGTTTTAACATTTTTTCAACTCAATTTTTTTGTAGTTATAAAGAGAAATGTATCTTTATAATTCAATATCTTACTTTTTAATAATGTTACATTGGTAGAAATTTCATTTTGAATATAGATGTTATGTTTTTCTACGTTTAAAGTCCATAATAAGTTCAAACCGCCTAAACCGGTCACACTAAACCGATTTTTTGTGGTCCGATTTGACCGATTTGATCACTTGCCGCCATTACGGTTTAGTTTGTGGCTTAAGAGGTTAAACCATCCAAATTAGACCACAAACACCCCTAAATATAACTATCAGAGATGCTCTTATATTTTCCTATTTCAATTGAGATGGAGTTTTATAAAGTAAAATGCTTAAATACTACTCAATAATGGATAAAGTTGTATTTTAATCCACAAACAATTAAACAGACACTTCATATTTATTATTTTTTGTTTTATCACTATTTTAATTACTTCATTTGCATTCATCGACTTAAAAAATCCCGTGTATAAAAGTTATAAGGCTGATGCTTTTTTATCGGCATATGTATCGATTCTCATGAAAGTGGTATTAGGGATCCTTGAATGAAGTTGAGCGTTAATCAGAGGCTCAAGACGTCCTTTAATATCATGGGCGTTTTTCGTATAACTGAAGATAACGGCTTTGGTAAGAGTTACAATAACAATGGTTCTAATTAGTCCTCATATAAAATTAGATTCAAAATTGACGATTTTGACCTTAATGTATTTTTGTATAAGAAGTTAACTAGAGAAGTTATATTAATTTTTATTTAAAAAATTAACTTAATCGCTTTCTTCAGATTCAAGAGTCTTATTTAATTTTAAATTTACAAATAACAGGTCTTTCATTGATTAATTAGATGGAGTCAAGTTTGTCAAACCTAGTTGTAATCTTTATTTTTTGATTTTATTGTCAAATAAACATCATAATCATATGCTTTCTACTGATTGTTTCAACAAAAGTAGGGTAGGATGGAGTTTTCACAATGAGGTTTTGTGTTCAAATCCGGCTGGTCAATCCTGTCTAGGACACATAGGATGTACTTCTTTATGATGGTTATTAGACCGGTACGATGGAAACGCTTTCGAGGGTAATACAAACCCATTTTCTATAATTAAACGTACATTCTAGAAAATCTTGAATCTTATGGCATGTTTGGTTTGTAGGATTGGATAAGATTTAGAGGGATTTGGAATTCAATTCCATTGCACTCCTATGTTTAGTTTAAAAGATTACTTGGATTTGAAATCCCACAAATATAGAATTTAGAAATCTCGTGGGGTTTGTTGGTATTTTGTTTGACTTTATAGGATTTGTGTGTAAATAATGTTTAAAAATATGTTGAAACATTTATTTTGTAATAATCAATTAATAAAAAGGTAATTTAATTAATTTTATAATTATGTATAATTTGTTTTTATAAATTATTTAAAAAGAGTGGAATTCAATTCCATTTCAAATCTTAGAAACCAAATATATCAAGGATTTCATATCCCTCCAATTGCAAATCCTTTCACGAAATCCAAATCCCTCAGAACCATTCCATCAAACTAAACGTCTCATTGGGAAAAAAATTACATACCAATGGTCTTTTGACCCAAAATACCACTAAGGGACCGTTTACTAAAGATTATCTATGAAGTGTTTACAGGGTTTCTTTACCTTATTGGATGAGCATGACAATGATTGAAAATCTTACTCGATAAGAGCGACAACAAAGACCAAGAGTCTTTAACATGTAAGGAAGTGATCTTTCTGATTCTCGAAGAATGAGGGGCAAGGGGATTGATCGAGAAAGATCTTTTGTTCTTATTATAGGGGCGGATGTAGCCAAGTGGATCAAGGCAGTGGATTGTGAATCCACCATGCGCAGTGTTCGCCGAAATTTATTCCTCGTCTCTGAGTGCCTAGGTATCCACCGTAAGCCTTTCCTCGTTTGAACCTCGGTATTTTTGCACACGTTTAACGTTTAATAAATACAAATTCAGATGACAATTTCTTGGAATTCCCAACGTGATACAGTCTTGAAGGGCTGTATATTCTCCGTGCTGATCAATGATGATTACGATGGCGTTTTAATAGACTATAATCTTTTAAGTTAAAGTGTCGACTCTTATCAGTAAGGGTCGTGTAAACGGCCCCTAAGTGTTTTGTTTAACCAATGATCAAGAATACTATGATGACGGACGTTGAAGATCAATTTCAAGATAAAAGATAGAAAGTAAACAAAAGCGACTTTAGACTTGTGGATTAAAACGATAGGAAATGGATCATCCTGAATAAAAATTTATTTAGGGATTAAACTTGCATATCAAGAAAGAGTTGAAGGACGAAATCTGGTATTACTAATGGCTTTCTCCACAAGGCTAAAAAGGCTAAAAACCTTTCTCCACTGTTGCCCGTCGGACTGCGGTAAAACGAGGGATATGGAGAGGAAGATATTTCGATAACTTTAATCGAGCCAACTTCAAATATCGTAAGTGATGGTAACCGGTCTGGCTTTTAACCGGTTCTGGGTTCAGGCCCATTTGCCTACCTCTACAATGAGGTTGTTTACTTAGGGGTTGTTTGGTTGGTTTTTCATTACCTCTTAATGAATTACTCTTAATGCATAGAGTTTCCCCTAGAATCTTACTGAATAAGTCGTTTTCTATATCCTTCAGCCACTAACAAACAAGGTCTAAGTCGCTTTCTATATCATTAAGTCACTACCAAACAATCATGTATAAGTATAACTGATCGAACGAATAAGTTGCGAGTCCCATTAAACTCATTAAGTTGCTAACAAACAGGCTAACATCACTACTAAAAGAAAATAAAGACCAACAGCAGTCTAGAGCTAAAAAGTACAGCATATATTTCAAGGCTAATATTAAGCGAGACATTAAAACCGAAAAGCAAAGGAAAATTGAAGTCTCACAAATGAGTAAATACAGCATGGGGGATAAATAACTGCATTCATATAGTACCAGCAACAATGGCTTCCAATATCTTACCTTCCAATTCAGGCTCATCGATCCACATGGAACTTTGACGATGCAGAAGCTGACTCTTCTCTTTCTTCTTCTCCATGATTTTGTTTTCTCTCATCTTGTGGTATTCAAGCTTCTCGGCTCTTTCTTTTAACTGCAGCCACAAGATTTCAGTGACATTAATTTGCTGATATCAATCAAAAAGTCATCAAAGAGACTACAAAGAAGCAAATAAACTAAGGGGCTTTTTGGTTGGTTTTCCATTAAATCTTGTATGGATAAAGCTGTATGTGTGGATTAATTTGTCTATATAGATTGAGAAGGTTTTTGTTTGGGAAGGTTTTTTTTCATAGATAGCAGTGTATTTTTTTAACTGCGACGGGGATGTTTGGAAAAAACTTGGCTTTTGGTATAAAGCTCTCCCCCAGAAGCTTACTGAAGAAGCCACTTTCTATATCATTAAGCCACTAGCAAACAGTCATGTATAGCTGACTGAATAAGCCACGAGTCCCATTAAGTTCGTTAAGCTCCTAACAAACATCTCCCCCCCCAATGGAGATACTAACTTTGGCTTTCTCCATCTTGGAGAAATTATGGAGAATCTGTTGGAGATGCTCTTAGAATCAATGAATTATTTGCATAAATGAACCATAGGCATGATTGTGAGAGGGAAGGCTGCTATACAAATTTGTTTTCACAAAATCCTTGGGATGGATGGAATATTTTAATGAAGATATAATCTTACAATGTGTATGCCTAATGTATCGCTGGAACATCATAATCATTACATACTTACATTCATCTATTTGATTATGGTTGGCATGCGGCTAGCTACAGAGTTATGAAACAGCACAAGGGGTTTCACACAAGGGTCAACTAGAACACCATAACATGGAATAGCAGTCTGGAGCTGTTTTAGAAGCCTATTAGCATAACGGTTGCACCTCATGGTTAACTTATACAAAATGCAGGCAACTACAACTAGAAGGAGCTTGTTCTTCTTGGGACTTGAATATTTGATGAGACTAAGGGCCTGTTTGTTAGCAGCTTAATGAGTTTAACGGGACTCACAACTTATTCAGTCAACTATAGATAACTTTTGGTAGTGGCTAAATGATATAGAAAGTGGCTTATTCAGTAAGCTTTCGGGGGAGCGTTTTATGCAGAAAGCCAAGTTTTTTCGAAACCCGTCCCTCCCAATTAAAAAACCCACTCCTTCTATATATGAAAAAACCCTCTCAAACAAAAACCTTCCCAATCTATACAAACAGAATAATCCAGACTGGACTTGATAAAAACCCAACCAAACAACCCCTAAAATTCCCTCCCTCTCATATCCAAAGACATGTGAATTTATCTAAATCTAATATGTGACAAGAGTAGCAAATACAAATTCCCGATTGCATAAATATCATTACCTAAGTGTATCCTTTTTTCCTAAGTATGGGTGATGAGGGTTGAGATTGCTTCTAGCAGCTGACATATCTAGACACTGTTGTTCTGGTTGTCCTCAACTCCTCATATTGGTTTTGTGCACTATAATATTGTACACTTAAAGCAAATCCATGTATTCATACTAAATATGGATAGCTAACAGTAAATAGTATTATATTTAACAGTAAAGATTGTAAGAGTTCATTGAATTCCTTGAATGAATTTATGTAGAGCAAGCCCTTGTAGCTCAGTTATCGCATTTGTAATATAATGATCATTTGATTGAATCTAGTTTTCCTTATTTATTTTCTACATATGCATCGTAACAACAATGTTAATCAGCTGTAGTAAAGAAAGAAACTTCAAAGAAATTGAAATATGAAGAAATAGAGGGTTCACCCGCGAAAATGTAGCCTGTAGCTCAGAGGATTAGAGCACTTGCTAGATTTAGTACATGAAAAAGCTATTTCTTTTTCTACATTGGACTAAAAGATATTCCGATTCATTTAAGCATTTGTTTATTTAGGTTAGATTCGTTACCCAGAACAAAATTACATCATATTGATGGTTATACATATAATGAGTCTCATTTAACATTACAGAGGTCTATTTGTGAAAGACGGGACTCCACCAAATGTACCCTTTGTGGTAAATTCGAAAAATAATATTCAAGAATCAAGAGGTTAAAGAAACATTTGGCAGGATGGCACAGGATGCAACAGTGTGTCCAAATGCAGCACCAACAATCCCAACATAGATAATATAAGCTTCAAAGCAAGAGAAAAGGAAACTGATATGTAGTCTTGAATTCTTGATGATGATGATGATCATGTGTGTAATTTGGAAGAGAATGACTTGTCCAATTCAACATAAATGCTAATCCCAACATTCTTCACCAGCCACCATGTCTAGTTCTTTTTTTCTTTTTTGAAGTATATAATATTATATACAGCAAATAGAACAAATAAACACAGACGCCCTCCTCACATTTGGTGAGGTCTGAACCCAGGACCTCCTAGGAGGGCAAAGACACACACCGCTAGGCCAAACGCCCTTTGGTATCACCATGTCTAGTTTCTGGATAGGCTCTAGAAGGACGATAAAGGATTTACAATTCAATATGCCTCGACCAAATTTAGTGGAGCAAACGATGTAATTGGAAGAAAAAAAAGAACACTGAACAACAAGAACATGAACAGAAAAGAGCAATGGCTTATAGTAGTCATGCTATGGCAGTTTAATCTCAAATTTCCATCCTAAGCACAAAAGTGAGAGGCTGCAAATCGGAAGTGACGAGCAATAATGAAGCAAATCCAGGTTGTATAACCAGTTCAACAAAGTACCAATTTCTAATGACCAAAAAGATCATTTAGTAATGAAAAAAGTACTCAGAAATATGAAACTAAAAACAAAATCCACGTACCAGGGTTTGCCGGAACTCTTCCTGAGCCAATTGACGTTCAGCGGCTTTCGCTTTTTTCGCGGCGGCTTTAGCAGCTTTACGCTCTTCACCTTCAACCCTCAAAGCTTCTTTTTTGATCTCATCTTTTCTCTGCTTGTCGAGCCTCTGAAGCTCCATTTCCTGAATGTACTCCTTGCGAACCGCCTTTACCTTCATCGCGTAGTCCCGACGAAGCCGAGAGAGCTTTGATTGAGCCTCTTTAGGATCCTTGGGTGGTTTCCAGCTGTTGAGATAGTCGTTTCGTGCGTGATATTGGTGGTTGCGTTGGTGGTCATTGTGATGAGACGGCGAGACTGTAGTAGATAGATATCGTTGTGGGAGGAGTTGTTGAGTAAAGATGTTTTCTAGGATTCTAGGTTTTGCAAAACGGAGGAGTAATCGTGAGCTCGCCATTAAAGCCGGCGACAGAACCACCGAGGGTTTTAGTGCCGTTAAAAGGGATTTAACCGATCGCAAATATCGACCCGTGGGCTATCGGGCCGGATAGTTTACGGATTCGGGTATGAGACTAATTTTCTTTATTTTTCTTTTCTAGTTCTCCTAAATCCTAATCGTATTTATTACATCAATTTTTTATTGTTAATCAAATTATTTAAAATCAATCATATAAAATAATTCAATTATTACATTTTTTTGATAATTACCTTCTCTAGTGATTTAGTTTCACAACCATTTATCTTACTTATTTTATTAAAATTAAGTCAAATTATATGATTGATATAATTATAAAAGGTAAAATATCTATTTAAGTATTTGAGTAAAAAAATAAAAAACATAATGTTATTTTCATCTATTTTTGTCATATTTCACTTATGTTATTAACAATCGTTATAAGATATTGATGAGACTGATTTCAATTTGTAAGTTTTAATATTTGATTGTTACATATCAGATCAAACATCTTGGTTATACAAGACTTGAGAATCACGAGCATATCGAAATGTGTTGCATGAAATGGGAAACACAAAGAGGGTCGAACACTAGCTCCGCTTGGTTTACTTACACAAGGGTTAGAAACATCGATTTAAAATATTTTGAAGATTAATTCAACTCTTAACAACTTTTTTTATTTTAAAGATTACAATATAAATTTTATTATTAAAATGATTTTATATTTGAGAAATTATTTTTTTCTATTAAACATTTAATATTAATGTTTCTTACCGGTTAAAATACAATAAAAACCATTCCTCTTTTATGATAATTATTTTTGGAAAGTTTTCTAAATTTAAATAATTTCACATCCTTTCCTATTCTATCCAATTAGAGGATCCGTTGGAGCATAAAAATTTGTTTAAAATTCCCAAAATTTCTATTTTCTTTGTTTTAAAAAGTTCGTTAAAAATGTTTCTGAGCGAGTCATATAACAGCAATTTACCAAACATAACCGGTTAACAATAATACCTTAAATACAAAACAAGAAATGAAGGTACAAACTGGTTCAAATCAACTCAAATGTTTAAAGATCCTTAAATACAAAACAAGAAATCCAAGCATCATAAATAACACATAATATTTACAAAATATACAAGAACATAAAGCTAATAATAATAATAATATCAACAGAAAACTGACTCTTCCTCCAGCTGCTTTGGCACCAAAACAGCTAGCTTCAGGTGGCCATTCCGGCACAGGTTCGCCGGATTCTTGAATACCGTCACCCGACCGGATTTATCGCCGGACAAAACGATCCGTGCTATGCTAAAAGATTCACCTTTCTTGACCGCAAACTGCCACTCTCTGACCGATATCTCGAACCAGTCCTTGCTTCCGGAATCGGTTGTTTTTACTTCAACATATTCTTTCCGGTTTTCCTCATCACAGACTTCAATATCATAAGGTAGCCCGGTCTCCCGACCTTGGTTCACCCATTTCACAACCTTTTTATCGAATTTTCTGGAGTAGAAGTTGAACGCCAGTTCCTCGCCATGTCTCCCGGTGAGCAACGCCTGTTGCATGTTGGCTGCACCATGAGAAAGCCGATCCTTCTGGCTAAAATCGCATGAAACATCTTGGTTAACCACACCAGGTTCAACATTCAGACCAGCAGCCGCATCGGCTGCACCATGATCCTCATCGTTTGAACTTGTAGACGGTTCAGCATTTTGTACCTGATCGGTCGAGATTATATGCTCTTCTATACTACCAGCATTAAGATCGGTTTGCTTAGCGATATCTTGCTGCATTTCTAGACCATTCACACATGAAGAAATGAACTTGGGGGCGGTTTTCCAACTGGCCGGTGGCCAGTTTCTGTTACTTTGATTCGATGTGCTGCGCTTGACCATTCTCTCTGTGAAACGGGTTGTAGCCGATGTCTCCGTCCATCGTAGAGGTTGAATTGACCATACGGGTTCTTCATCCATGAGTTTTGGCACTTTCTGGCTATTCAAGACGAAAGTTTCTATTTGTTCCGTTGTCGAACCAGATTCGGACATAGTTGTAATCATGAGAAGAAAATTCGCCAAGTGCAGTTCAGGATTTCCATTGATCAGAAAACAAGAAAGCTCCATGAATATCGAATGAGAATCCGACTCACGTGTTGCATACAAGATCTCATCCTGTAAGTATCAATAAGGAAACAGTTTAGCTTAGATATGCTAACCTAACAAGTTCTATCGATAAAGTTGGACAACCTAATAGGACACAAAACTAATACTGTCGTATTAGCATTTTTATACGACATTTTTGAAAAGAGTCAAATATATGAAAAAGGCTAATAAGACACTTTTCAAAAGTGTCATAAAGAACTAATAAAGACAGCTCCATTTTTGTGTCGTATTAGAATGCCCAACTTCGTCACTAAATATAATACCTGAACGAGGCAGCTAATATCATGTCTCTTCTTAGACACCAGTTTCGATCGCTTTATGACGTTCTTATAGAATAACTTTTCAACAACAACGATTTGCAGCCGATTCAGTTTTTCGAATCCAGAGAGCTTAAGTTGGAGATATTCTTCGGGATATGAGTTAGAAATGTAACGTTGAGCGTATGGAAGAACCCAGCTCACCAACGAAGTTTCATAGCCATTGTCGACAGGGCCGTAATATATTGCTTCACGAGTAATAACCTGCAGTAGATAAAAACTTGTTTATGCCTGATATCATCCACAATTATAAGATGTTCGGTTTTGAAGAACATCAAATATGCCTAAATTGTCCTAATAGACTAGAATTGTGTGTGTGCTATACAAAAGTCTTACATTATGATCTTACCTACTTAGGCATCCAAACAAGTTTTTTATGACACTTGTGAGAATTGTCCTATGAGAGAACACTTGTTTTTATACGATAATCTATCAAATAAAGTAAGGTTCACGGGAAAAAAAACAAAAAAAAATGAAAAACTGAGAAACACCCTGCAACCGTTCATCTGGACGGTATGCATATGTGCATAGTTGTTTCTTGGTTTTTATGCACATGTGCATACCGGACAAAATGCTTACAAATTATTTGTATGAACATGTGCATACCGTCCAGATGAACGGTTACGAAGGTGTTCTTCAGGTTCTTATTTTTTTGCGGTTTTTCCATGAACCTCCCTCCTTTCAAATAATGTCATATAAAAGACTAGTAGAACACTATATTTCAAAAGTTTTTTAATGATAACTTGTTAGGACACCCAAAAACATCTATCAACTTATTGCAACAACTATACATAGAATCGCACAATTGTTCGGTCCTCTGAACTTAAGTCCTATAAAGCAGTCTATTAGAACAATTAGATATAACTTTTTTCCTATAAAACCGATTTTGTTGTAGTGACAAGTTCGCCAGAAAGAGTGACTACCTCCGAGAGAGCAGAGATTCCTAGCGCTTTCATGAGAACAGAAACCTTCACTCGAAGCATCTCTTGTTCGTCATCACTGAGTTCACATAAACGAAGAAAATCGATAATGTTCAACCCCTCAAATTCATCAGCAAGCTTCTCGTCATCACACCAACACACGAGTCCAAACGATGAATGCAATGAAACCCATTTATCCTGTGCCGTTGGAAGCACCTTCATCTCCTTTCCTTCAAGATTCTTTTTCAATATTTCAACATCCTCAAAACTCAGTAGCCCAGATTTGAGTCCATCACTCCACATTAGAAAAACATCAAATACCTGTCGAACGATTGCAAATTTGAGACAATGCCGTTGAGTATGACAATAGGGTGATCAATTCGTTGAGACATTTAGTTAAATGACCCTTTGACAGGTTTTTTTAAATCCATGACCTTCTGAAAGGGTTTTCAATTCTATGACCTTCAGAAAAGTTTGAGAATGACAATGAATAACACTCTACTACATCATTAGGTTTATTGGATGCCTAAAATGTCTAAGCGTCCAAATAAAATGCTTTATAGAACAAACCGAAAAAATATCCTATCTAAAAGTGCTACAGTAGGTTTATAGATCATTTTAGACATTTTATCAAGTTTTTTTGGTCACTTCTAAAATAAAGTATCGTCTTAATTATTTTATACGACGCTATTTGAAAAAATGTCCTTTAAAAAGAAGGGTTTATAGAACACTTTTTCAAAGTTGTCCTTAAAATAGCTAATACGACATTTTATTTTACAAGTGTCCCAAAAAAAAAACTTGTTAAAACATCCTGAAACCCTACTGTAACTAGATAAGTACGTTTCATTGTTTGGTTCCTATAAACCCATTTTTGTAGTAGTGACAGAAGAATGCCTAGAAACCTGTCTGAAGGTCATGGATTTTTAAAAAGCATCTGTCCGAAGGTAGAATTGATCTTAGAACACTCACCTTTTTGGCAGCCTTCAATGCAGTATCGACAGCTGATAAATGACGCAAAAGCACGAAGTACTCTAGAAGCGGAGGGTTCTCCTTTACGCCACATTCATTTACAAAAAAGTCGTGGAGGCTTGGATATAAATTGCTCAACATTTTGCGGGATTCACTCTGATCAGGATGGACCATACTATCATGCCAACACACTTCTTGAGGGGATAAGAGCACACCAGACTCAACTTCACTTGAAGAAACAGAAGAAGAAAAAGGTACGAATATAAACGTTCCACACCGTAAATTTGCTATGTTTTTCTGGTTTGAAGAAGCCAATTCGTTCCATATGAACGAGTAGAATCTCGACATCTGTGATATACTGGTGAGGAAAGCGATAAGCTGTCAGAAAAAGATCGATTGAAATGGACTACACTTTATTTCAAAGTTGTCCCTGAAAAAACTTGTTAGATCGCCCCATAGAGTCCGATCAACTTGTTGTAACACATTTATATAGAAAGCATAATTGTAAGGTCCTACAACATTAAGTCCTATTAAGCAGTTCACTGCAACAAAATTGGTTTTATAGGACGCCTAAAATGTATGACCATTCTAATAAAATACTTTATAGAAACCAAAAAGTGTCCTATCTAAAAATGTTACGATAGTTTTATTAGCCGTTTTTGAGCGTTTTAACAAGTTTTTTAGAACGCTTTTAAAATAGAGTGTAATATTAGTTGTTTTTTATAAGACACTATTTGAAAACTGTCCTGTAAAAAAGTGGAATTATACACTTCTCAAAATTGTCCAATAAAAAAAGCTAATACAACACTTTATTTTAAAAGCGTCCTAAAACACTAGTTAAAACACCCAAAAGCGTCCTATAAACCTATTGCAACACTTTTAGATAAGACACTTTATAGTTTAGTCCTATAAATTTAAGTTCATAAAGTATTCTATCAGGACGTTACACATTCTAGGCGTCCTATAAAGCAAATTATGTTGTAGGTGTCTATTAGGACTTGGACATAATTTTGTGTCCTATAAAACCGATTTTGTATCTGATCTAGAAGCATAATAATACCTAGCTTTGAAAGATGTAGAAGATCTCTTCCACACTTCAAGAACAGATAAAGCATCATCAAGGGTAACAGCAGTCTTTAAACCGATGCTACTCACCAACTTCTCACTTTGAATCTGTTGCTTATCCAAAAAGCCACAAGTTCAAAATAGGGTGAGTTCAGAATTGTGATAAGAAAACAGAAAGTTATGCAAAAAAAGAAAAAGATTATGATTGATGGACGGAAGTAAGATAGGATGAGCAAATCGACCTTTGGGACAGCGTAAAAAGCATTATCACCGAAAATCGAGCACACTGCCTCACAATCATGAAACAAGTCTTTAGGATAGTAAAGCCCGTCGTCCACGCTAGAAGCCACCCATTGAACATCGTTTAGGGAGCTTACTAATGAAGACTTAAAAGGCTTACTTTCTCCATCGATATTGCAATAAGCTACAACCTTATTACAGAAATAATCATCCCATTTTGCATCAAGAACCTCCAATAAATACTTGCATTTTTCACGATCACCAGTCGAAGACACTGTTGCTATCAAATGAACCAACTCTCGGGACTCCCAATCGCTGACTGTTGATCCGGGAGAAATAATCACTTTTTCCCACATCATATTTCTGAAAACAAACTGAGATGAAATAGAAACAGTTTTCTCGATATGAACAATTTGCACAAAGTCAGTGATTTGTAGTTCCTGCAAGAATTTCCTCCAGTTGAACGTACCTCCAGATGAGGATCTAGCCGTTGGATAATTCAAATAAATGTTATCGATCTCATACCATTTTACATCAGTGCCATTGATCAACCTACTCATATCTATAGAATTTCCAAAACTGTTATCGAAATGGATTGCCACCTCAGCAGGTACAACAAAGCCATGATTTGTCAAAATCAAAACTTTATTGTATAGCTCCGAGATTATGTGCTCCCTTTCGATAGCACAATCTTGGCAACTAGATTGTAGGTGAACCATTATAAAAGATAAGTATTCTATCATGAGATTGTTGTTCGCTATGGTATTCTTCTTATCACAAATAGCTGGCAAGATGTGGACTTTTACTACTTGATGTGCAGATAACCGTTGAACGCCAACTTTAGAAAGTATTTGAATCAAGTTCTCGGTGATTGAACCATCAAACAGTGCTGGATTAACAATACGAAGATTGGTAAACAATCTTGCAAAAGCTTCAAGACCATGCTCGTTATTAGATATTGTGCAAGAAGCATCAAGATTCATCCAAATCATACCCTCATCAATGGAACTATAACAACCGTCTAAAAGAGGAATGAAGGGCGTTTTTCTCAGGGTATTCATGATATCGGAGCCAAATTCAGGTTCAACAAAGCTCCGCCCAGAATGGAAAGACATCCCGTATAACGCATTAAGCCAAGATGATAGCCAGCTAAAACCCATTGATTTTAGACCTTCTTCGGTACCGCATAGAGAAGCTAGCACTCGAACCAAGATTCTAGGCCCGTAATTCTCGATACCCAATGCCTTCGCCAGTGGATCTGATAAAACTATATCCTTATTCAAGTACCCAACGCCAAGATGCGTCTGAATTAAGCTATCCGGCAAAAGAGTTCGAACCTGTTCATTCCAGTTTCTTAAAACCCGACACGGAGGAACCCATTTGTTGTTGTCCCCTTCTAGAAGGAGACAGTTCGATGTGCATAACTTAGATATGATCATTCTAGGAAGAGAAGCAAAAAATCCATGCACTTCGCCTGCAAGTGGAACATAACCCAAAAAGACGGAAATACCCTTTCCAGGACAATCCCGGAAACCGGGAAGGCTGCAGAAAGATCTCTGGGAATCCACAAACAAGCTTGGGAACTGTGATAGCAGCCATTGGTTCCATGGACTATCTCCATCAACTTCTTCCCTCGAAGAAGGAAGTATAAAGTCACCTTGGATGATAAACTTTAAACCATATGTTCGAAGAGGAAGAAATGCAAAAACATACTGTTGATCCATCTTTGGAATGTAATCACCGTTTCCAGATGCTTCAAGTGAAAATGCAACAGAAATTTCGGTAGTTTTGGCATCATCACGGAGGCTGTTGGCGTGCAATTTCCGAGACTCAACAAACCAAGTTAATGTTTCCTTCCCAATGGAAACGTTGATTAGTCCATTCCCGATGATTTCTTTCCTCATGATGATGAATGAACCATTAAGCATATTTCTGAACTTGATACATTGAAGACGATGAAGAAAAAGTAACAAAGATGGATGAAGATCTGAAAACATAGATGTGATATTCTCCACAAAAGTTTCTGTTAGCTTTGACTTGAAAGGAAGGACAATGCTTGTATTCCATTGGTGTATATTCACTTGATCAGCTGTATCTAATGAGACCAGGTTGCTGAATAACTCGATATCACAAGGAGACACGATTGTTGGCAAAACAAAACCAATTTGACCCTCGGTTAAGTCAAACTTTATATGAAATCCGTTTGAATGGATTTCTGGAGCATCAGTAACCTGCATAACGATCAAAATGATGTTTTCAGCAGATCGTAGATGATGCAAGAACTCACAGAAATTAAATTGCAAGAAGAAAAAAAGATTATTTGGTTCATATTAGAGATGAGTTTCCATTCATCATGCATGATAAGGGTGCCTTTGGTATCCGGACAAGATAGAACGGAACAGGTCAGAACAACTGTTTAGCGTTTGGTAAGACAAAACTGGACCGAACAAATAAAATGACCAATTTACCTCTAATGAGTTGTTTATATATTTTGATTAATTATGTAGGTTATTAAATTATAATAAAATAAATATTTTATATAACAAAATATATCATTAAAAAAATTCCGTCAAGACGATTAAAATGACACCAAAATAAAAAGTTTATCTAGTTTTGAATTTATGTTTTATATCTATTCTATATTATTTTTTATTATTATTATTATTTTTTAATAAATTACATAAATTAATCAAAATATAGAAATCATATAAAAATAATATTTTGGGGACAGTAAATGAAAGTTTAAAGAGCATATAACACGATAAATAAAATTTATACAATGTAAATAGAAAGGCGTATTTGATGTTTTAGAAGAGGAGTAAGTTTTATTTTGAGGTTGTATTGATAAACATAACTCTGTTCCAAGGTATTCTATGGGGTGAGGATGGAACACGCCTATTCCACTTTGTTCCACATAAAAGTCCAGCCAAACATGGAACAATAATACCTGTTTTGTTTTATTTTGTTCTGTCCTGTCCAGTGTACCAATAGCACCCTAAACGTGGATTCCATGTTGGAAGGTTATCAAATTTGGTAACGAAGAGTTTTAGTACGTTTCTTCCCTCAAAAAGGAAAATAATTAAAGAATTAAAGTTGACGAATTTTGTAACCAAATTTTGATACCCGAAATACTGATTTGAATCCGATGCCTTTCTTGCCAATGTACCCAGCACCAGATGCCTTCTTGGTAGAATTCCCAACATCACAAAGCGCTCTAATGTTCTCAGCAGAAAAACCATGTTCGTTATTCAGGACGACGATACTTTTCTCCTGAAGAATAAATGTCAGAGTCGGCTCCACATTTCTTGGATAGATATTATCATCAGCATTCTGAACCTACAATTTTTTTCAAAATGGCACGACCACGTTAAGACAGTTGCAAGAAAAAGAGAGGCATAAAAAAGGATGAAGCTAGACACTTGGGAAATTTACAAAAATAGCCAATCTGCCAAAGGGGTTTCATTCTCAAGCCATTTTCAAACCTCATTTCACTTTGCAGCCAATCCTTACGCATATGCGTAAGAATTGGTTTTGAGAAAAAAAAAAAGTGGAATCCTCACGCAGAAAATAGCCAAAAACCAATCCTTACACATATGCATAAGGCTACAAAGTGAAATGATGTGTGAAAACGGCTAAAAAGTGAAAAGAGCTTGGGAGATTGGCTATTTCTGTAATATTACCTAGAAACTTACCAGCTCTAGGAGAAAATGCGAGTCTTGTGAATATAACTCTTGTGAAAGACAATGAAGTGCTCTTCCTAAGCGAGCGTGTTGCTTCTTTAAAATGCTATTTTCCGCGATTGAAAGATTTGGGGCGAGACCGAATTCTTCAACTCTGATAGACTCGATAATATTAGCAGCATTTTTCTCTCTTTCAGACTCTGAAAAGGGTCGAATGCAACTGTCATCAGCATTATGCACTCTATGAGTAATCACGCTATTTCTTTCACAACCTTTATCAGGTTGGTTGACTTCAAGAGCCGAAATAACTTCATCTTTCGAAGAAAATCCCTTGCTTTTATCATCTTCAAGTGATTCTTTGGATGCAGACAAACATGTACAATAATCATCGAACCACTCAACTATTCCTAGCAATAATCCAAGCTCATGAAGCATCATATGATCTTCTTTACGTTTGCCTTCACGCAGAATCACCATAGGAGCATCTTTGATAATTAAACGAAATGCAGAAACCAATAACTCTGCTGCAAAGCTTCGGAACTCCTTAGGTAAATGACCCAAACAATCAATGAGAAATCTTGATGCTAAAGATAATCTCTGATCGTCTTTTACCACCTCGTCTGAAGAAAACTTTAACATGATTTCAAAACCATTCTTTGCATGGCATTTTAAAAGAGAAAAGGGTACATTTCGTTCACCACCATATAAAGCAATCAAAGATAGCAGCTTTACAGCTGCTTGAAAAGAAGATCCATGAAGAAACGCTTCAAGAAATGAATCCACAGTAGCTGAATGATCAAGACGTAAAACTTTCCCATCCGTTGTTGCTAAACAAAGCAGCTCATTGGTTTTAACATCACTCAACAGCCACCCCAAAAGAGGACCTAACGAAGGTGCAAACTTATAATCCCAATAAGACCACGAAGCTAGATCTACCAACATTGGAGCCCGAAGTAATTGTTCAACTGCGTTGTTTGTGTCAAGATGAGCGTCGGAAAAACCCTTTTCTGCTCTAAAACCAGATAGAGTTGAAGAAAATAACACTTTATTGGAGCTCACATTACTACCATTCTTGCTAAAAGTAGTCAGAAGATCTGCTGTAAAACCATCTTCTACTAGCGTAAGACCAGCAGAAGGGTATTGCATTCTCAATAGCTTGGAAACTGTCAACTTGTTTAAGGTTTCATGTTCCCCTAAGCTACTAGAAGCTTCCGATAAGAATTCAAGCAGATAACGATCATTCATGCAAACTTTAACTGAAGGCTTCTCACCTTTGTCGGTAATCAAGAAGCAATTTTGCCATGCAGCAGGTAGTAGGGAAATATGGTCCTCCAAAAAAGTGAAAATTTCTCCAAAACCAAGGGTCTCAAAGTCATCAATGGAAAATTGTACAGTTAGCCAACGTTCTAGGCTGTGGATCTCCTTTAGAAAGATCGATTGCTTTTTCGAATAAGAATTGATATCGTCTAGAATATGATTAGAAGACATGAAATATTCCTTTATATACTTCTGAACATCTTCAAGAGTAATATCTGGGAAGTGAACAAAACAAAAGAGAACTTCTGAGCAATTCTGATAATCAAAAACTGATTATTGTGACTTCAAGTCAGAATAATCAGTTTAAACACATATCCAATTACTCTCTTTGAAACGGAGACAGAATGAAAAGTGGAAAAATAGAACCAATAAAGGATAACAACATCGAGAAGTAAATAGCGCAAAGGGCATGTAACTTACCAACACGACCCTCCAAAACGTGCTTACTGGCAACTTGTACATCCTTTTCAGCTGGCTCAACGTCTGTGTTTACATCAACAGTACATGTTTTGGAGTTTGTATTTGCTATCACCTCATCATTGTTTGCTTGAGAAGTACAACTCATACGATCCCACAAACCAAACTTTATAGATGTAATCTATAACAAAACAAGAACAGCTTAAACATATGTACCCACCAGAGCTGCCAAACAGCACTTGTATTCACGACATCCAGATAAATTACATGATTATATCATAAGCATGTCAAAATAAAGGTACTGGTTTCTTTAACATTTAGGGCAACAATGTTAGATGTGATGTAACAACTCATCCCACATTGGGATTTGTGCGCTCCTTATAGGCTCAAGTAGTGGGCTACCTATAACTTCCACCATGGTTTTAAGTTGGATTTGAAGTTATTGGGCCAACATGTGGCTTTGGGCTTTGGGTGTTACAATGGTATTAGAGCCTATCCTTGAACCATGAGGATGGTGGCGCAAACCTCATCGGGTATGATGAGTACTCGAGGGGAGTGTTTGTAACATCTTAGGTGAATCCCACATCGCCAATTACAAGGAGGAAGATTATGGGCAGGCCTGACGAGGACGTCAGGAGTTTAAGCGGGGTAGTTTGTACTATTCATGAACTTTATGAGCTCCTCATACGCCTCAAGTTGTGAGCTACCAATAATTTCCACCATGGTTTTAACTTTTAAGTTGGATTCGAAGTTATCGGGACAGCCTGTTGATTTGGGCCTTGGGGTGTTACAGTCGAATACATGTATGAAAATAGCCGTAGTTAACTTACAGCAACGTTTAGCAATCCAACATGTGGATATGATGAACCCATCATATTTAGAGCAGCAGTCTTCTTCTTTGGCTTCATTTTATGATGATAAAAGTCAAGCATCTTCTCAAATGCCTACAAGCAAAATATAGCAGTTACAACACATGACTAGCGTAAAATACAATATAACAAATGCAGAAGGTAGGATCGAAGCCAAATGTTGATGAACTTTCACATTTAAAAGAAGACTAATCCAGATGATTCACTACAACACTGGAGGCAGATAAATCGGGATATAAGAAAAGATAACAAATCCCCAAAGGAAAATGAAGTTGATATAATGATCTGAAACATCAAAGTAAATGGAACAGTTCAAGCGAATGACTTACAAGATTATATCAGTTGCACTAATTGACCTAAATCGTCCCGATTTTTATAAAATATTTGACTTTAGGAGATGAGAAGAGGAGGGACTAGCGAAAAACCAGACCCTTATAACATGGCTAGTTAAGAATTAAAAGTAGAAGATATGAAAGAACCATTCTTTCTCATTAATGTGCCATTCTTTTACTTAAGCCAAGTGTAGGCTTTGTAGTTACAAACAGGTAAAAGTGGCATGGTATATTTGTCTTACTCGCATAAAATCTTCTTTCAGGTATTGGGATGAGAAGGTACTAGAGATACTACAGAGCCACAGGCCTAAGGAGATAGCTAGAAAAATAAACTGATAACTTCATATATACAGAAATCGTTCACAATCTGACATTTTTTTCTCATATTAGGCTATATGTATAACTCAAAAAGCGTAGCTAGAAAAAGTTAACGAGCATGGTAAAGAGTTCAACTAAAAAGTCCATTGGACTTGGGTACACGAACGCAATCGAATAAACTAAAATATAGTGTCATATGGTAAGGCTTATTAAACTAAAATGCACTGCCATACAGTAAGGGGTTGTTTGGTTGGTTTTCCATCAAGTCCTTAATGGATAAAGTTGTTTGTGTGGACTAATTTGTCTGTATGGATTGGGAAGGTTTTTGTTTGGGAGAGCTTTTTAATAAATGGAAGGAGCATCTTTTTTAATTGACAGGGGAAGGTTTGGAAAAAAACCTGGCTTTCTACATAAAGCTTACCGAATAAGTCACTATCTATATCATCAAGCCACTACCAAACAGTTACATATAGCTGACCTAATAAGCTGTGAGTCCCATTAAGCTCATTAAGCTGCTAACAAACAGATCCTAAGTCTCCACAGATGGCTTGATGTCCGCTAATGGCAACTATTAACAGTAGAGAGCAACATCATACCTCAACTACATTCTGTTTTTCACAAATGTCCTTCCACATCTTAATGAACATCCATGTAGTCCCATCAACTGCATTATCATTAAATCATGTTCCAAATCAGAATAATTAGAAAAATACAACCAATAAAGAATAATAACATTCAGAGTTCTAAAAGACGTGACATGGCGTCAAGACGTGTCTCCGATGACACATTGACCCCCGTAGCAGTTCTGTAAGAAGAGACAAGCGCCATGGTGTTTTAACGCTTGTTATGGCACATGATTTTTTGGATGTATTGTATGTCTTTGTTTGACTTTGTCCGGACGGTATGCACATGTGCATACAAGTAATTTGAAAGCACTTTGTCTGGTAATGCACATGTGCATAACATGCACATGTGCATAAAAACCAAGAAATAACTTCAATTACTTGTATGAACATGTAATTACCATCCAGATGGATGGTTACCAAGATATTCCTCAGTTTTTCATTTTTCTGGGGGTTTTCCCAGAACCTCCCTCTGTACTCTATATCCCTCTGTACTCTATATATGTGATACCAGTGTATGATATATAGACTTGCCACCTTAATCCATGCCTTGAAAAACATTGTGGCTCTTAAGGCTTGACCCCGCAGCCACGGCCACACCTCAAACCATTTAGAACCAACATTGCAAAGTAAATCACACAAATAGCATGTAACTTAACAACACGACTCTCCAAAACGTGCTTACTCGCATCTAGAACGTTCTTTTCAGCAGGCTCAACATCTGTGTTAACACCAACAGCACATGTTTTGGAGTTTGTATTTGATAGTAACTCTTTATTGCTTGCTTGAGGGATGGAACTCAAACGATCCCACAAACCAAACTTCATGGATGCAACCTGTAACAAAACAAAAAAACTTAAACTTATGTCCCCACTGAAGTTATCCAAAAAACCCTTATATTCATCAAATGCGAACAAAGGTTGGGTTCCGGTGAGAATTAAAGTTATGGTGAGAAAAGTAAGAAGGGATCTCCACCCTTGGATCAATCCTATTGAAGATCAATACTAATGCGGTGCACCGGATCAATTCCCGTGATAAGCGCAATTCATAGGGTGGGGTGAGATTAGAAGTGATCAAGAGCCCTGATCCCTTATTGTGTTTCTCACATTATCCTTCGTCATGCAGACAAAGGCCGCCATTACATCATAAGCATGTCAAGGTGAAAGTATTGCTTTCTTTATAGAAAATAAATATTCAGGGTAACACAGCCATAATGTCGAACAATCATATGAAAATGATAGTAGTTAACTTACAGCAACATTTAGTAATCCAATATGTGGATATGAAGAATTCATCTTATTTAAAGCTTTGTTCTTCTTCTTTGGCTTCATTGGACCATAATAAAACTCAAGCATCTGACCAAATGCCTACAAGCAAAAGGTAGCAGTTAGGAGACAGAGCTGGTGTAACATAGAATATAAAAATTGTAGAAGATGGAATATAAGCCAATTTTGATGATGTTTCACATTTAGATAGAGATGATTCAGTACAACATAGAGGGTCGACAAATCTGATATAAGAAAATATACATAAGGCCTACGAGGCATAATCTAATAAACAGTTAAGACTATGGATATCTAGAAAAAAAACCTTCCCAAACAAAAACCTTCACAATCTATACAGACAAAGTAAATAACACATGCAGCTTTATCCATACAGAACTTGATGAAAAACCAACCAAACAGCCCCTAAGTCTCAATAGATAGCTTGATGTCCACTAGATACTAGTGAAAATTATTAATAGTAGAATGCAAGACAAACCTCATGTACATTCTCTTTTTCACATGTGTCCTTCCAGGTCCTAATGAACATCCATGTATTCCCATCAATTGCATTACCATCTATAAATCCTCTTTCCACATTGTCGTTTAGAAACTCTGGTTTAAACTTGACCGCAAGATTCCAGTATTCGAGTGATTTATGAATTACATGTATTGTGCCACATTTAAGAGCAACACCATCATTGTCATGAGAAGAAGTCAAACTATAATCCATTTCAGTATCCGGACAAATTCGTGGCACTTGTGCAGCTGCTGAAGAGCGAGAACAGGTTGCAATTTGAGATGACAAGATGCCAAAATCATCGTTTTTATTGTTATCATCATCTCCAGCATCATCCTCGTTGTCATCAGGTTTCAACTCTACATCTAATCCTTCAGAACACTTCTTTAGCAAAGTGATTTCTGATCGCCTTCCACGCATGATATGGCTGATGTGCATACTGTAAATGTACATCAGCAGAAAGAAAAAAAGGGTAAATGCATAGGCTTAAATGCAATTACGATAGCTAGAAGACACAAATGTTTTATTGATAATTTAAGTCTAGAAAAAACAAGCATGCTTAAGGGTAAGAATCTAAGAGACAAAAATAGTGAACTGATAGGTGAGAACTGTTGTCAAGTGTCTAGTCTATGGTGCACGCTCTCTATATTTGCATGCAAGACATCTTACTCCCTCCATCCCATGAAAATTACTTCCTTCGCTCCAAAATAAGTGTCCACAATAGAAATGGCACACAGTTTTAGACACAAGTAATTATTACCCTTTTTAGTTAACCAAATGACAACTTTACCTCTAATAAATTTATCTATGTTATCAACTCTTAAATATATGTGCATTAACCAAGGGTAGATTTGGAAAGTTAGTAATTAATTTTGAAAGTGGACACTTATTTTAGGACAAACATAAACAGAAATGCAGACACTTATTTTGGAACGAAAGGAGTACAATTTCTTTTTTGGGCAAATGTTCAAGTTAAAACTACTTGTTTGTTCACTGTCATCATTACACATTGGTTTCATTAATTTAGCTCACATGTCTAATTTGAGGGTATTTATGCAGTATTCATGGGATATAATCAAGGTTCAAAATGGCATGAGGCATGGCATGGCAGCGACCTTAAGCCTTACACGCCACAGCGAGGACTCGGTGTTTTTTAAAGCGTGACACAAGGCAACAAATTTGTATGGCATATATATAAATATATCTATACATATAATGTGTTATATTTATTATTCACTAATATAATGCTATTAAAAAAATTTACATTCATATAAATTAATTAGTATTATATAAAAAGTTCGTGATTAGATATTCAAAATAGAACTTGAAGGGTTTTACAACTTTGTTTTAACCGTGAGTCCGTGACATGTGTGAACCCAAGAAAATGTGAGTGATCTAATTAACTAAGTTTGTAAAGATATAAAATTTATTAAAAGTGTAAAATCATAAAAGTTAAAAAAACAGCAAGCATGGAATTGTAAAATATATACCCCAAACTTTGAATCCGTATGCAGAGATTTTCCCGGCTTTGCTTTGTTCTCTTTGCTATATAATCCAATAAATCATCAACCGTAACCTTTTTCCTTTTGCGGAGGAGTATACTGAGATACGCAATAATTTGTTCACTCGTAATCTTGAACATTTCTGTGACATCGCATGCTATAGAAAAATAATGCACAACAAGTGGATGCTTTAACATGGGCCCCAATTCAAGTTCTTCGAAGCCTTTAATTCCTTCGCTTTCACAAATTGCCATCTCCAATTCATGTAGTGATGTGAGCTTTTGGACCCCAACAAAGCAATGTATAAAAGAGTTGATCTACAAGACGAATATCAATTGAAAAAAGTTATATATAACCTTACATAATTACTTAGGAAACCAAACATCTCATCTCTAGATGATTGCTAAACTGATTCTTTCGCAACTCTATAACATGAATAATTGATCAAATAATTGTCCATTCTCGATTCTCCAATTATGTGGATTTGTCCTCATTTCTACTCAATCAAGTAAAAAGAAACTCACAACGGTATCTTGATTTCTTCATGCACCATGATAACTAACAAGACCCACAAGCAACAATGGTGAAAATGACCATAACTTCAATTTATTTCCATTTCAAGTTAGAAATTATTTTTACCTTCTACTACATCCTTCCCATGTTATATCTGAAATCTAATTATTAAACAAATTAAATAACCAAAAAAAGAAATTAGTATTATGTAGACGTAATTCTAATCCCCAACAAATTCTCCAAAATTTCTCTAAAATGGAGAATCAAACTCGAAATCTACAAAATATATAGAGAAAGGGAGGCTCAAAGGAAAACCTTCAAAAAAATGAAAAACTTAGAAACACTATGGTCCATTCATTTGGTCGGTATGCACAAGTAATTGAAGTTGTTTCTTGGTTTTTATACACACAAGCATACGGCCCAGAGAACAAGGGTCTTCCTCAAATTTTCATTTTTTTATGGTTTTTCTCTTAACCTTGATTATATATATTCAACTCCATCAGATAAATATTGATTATAATATTAAAATAGTTTATACATATAATAAAATATTCTCTCTCTCGTAAACATTTAACATAGTGTGAAGTTTTGGAGAATCCGCTAGAATAAAAAATTTGACCAAAATCTCCATTTTTTTTTTTTTTTTTTTTTTTTTTTTTTTTTTGAAGAATCGCCCTAAGAACGATCACATGTGAAGGCCACTGTATCAATGTTGACTTAGAAAAAGTACAACCAAAATTGACCATGCCTATTTGCAAAACAAAATCCGTAGAATAAAATGTGTAACCATTTTCCTTGATTTCGAAGAAAACACTGTGTCTGCAATGCAGAAATCCAAAAAAAAATAACTCAACAAAGGTCTTTGAAAGCTAGAAGGCACTACAAATGGTTAAAGAGGTAGATCACTCGCGAATCGGGATAAATTTCCCGATACGCAAACATAAACGTATTAATAGATCTTCAGATCATTATAAGTAACTTCGAGAATTTTGATCATCATCTTTTATCTGTTGCAAAATTAAAGGACTTCTGAAAGAGAAATTAAAGCAATCATGAAAAACTTTACCTTTGCTTCAGTGAGCATGAGGCGATTGAGTGAGGGTACATTCTGCATATGGAACCCTAATGATTCAAGGGATGCCGCTTTTAGTATCACCAGTGTCGACTGTGCGACTCTCCATGCAGATATACTTTCGCCGGCGGCGAGAAGATCAGAGTGAGCCTTCACTGCAGCGCCGTCGATCCTCACAATCACTTGCGACAGAGATTCTGCATTTCGACTGCTTCCGGCGTAGCCTTGCGATTGCCGGCGAGGATGTCCCTGCATGTTCGAATAAGGCGGGAGAATCGCGATTCTTTGGTTCTTCGAAGTAAAAACTACAAGGTCGTCTCTTAGTCTTTAAGCATGTTTGTAATTGTACGGAGAAAAGGGACATGGGTTGTACAAGTTTCAATTTTGGTCCTTCAACAATATGGATTATGTTAAAAGACCCCTCTAAAGTTGCAAGATTTCAAAAAATTTACCGACATTCTTCGCTTTGTTTGTCATCTCTGGACTTTTTAAAGACTAATTTTATTTGCTAAGAAAACAAAAGTAGGTTTGGGAAGATACTTTTTAAAATATAAAGATAAAAAGTGGAGGGTGTATTATTGTCATCAAGTCTTGGTCAATAAGTGTTTTTTAACCCAATTAAATTTATTGGACACTACTTTTTATGGTTTATATGCTCATAATTTACCTACAAATATATATATATATATATATATATATATAGCATTTAAGGGATAAATGATTAGTTTATGGTAATCGTAAGATCCAATATAAATCACATGTTTGAGATATTTAAGAATATTTTTTAGATAAGCTAAAAGAATGATATATTGATTCTATTTTTGATAGCTAATAAAAATATTTAATTATCTTTTTAGAATGAAATATTTAATTAAAATTAGTTACTTAATATAACAATTACCTAATATACATCGTATTTTAAAGACGTTTGTGAATCAAGGTGTATTATAGTGATAACATTCACAATGTTTCACGTGTATCACAATGTATTTTATTTGTTTTATTAAATCTATCATAGTGTGCATTTTCGTTATTTCCATTGTTTTACAAATGGTATCACATCGGACATCTTGTATGCATATATGGGTATCACATAAGTTTCATCGAAGTAAGGTTCGTCGAATAAGATTCACCGGAAAGATGAGAGATGGGAAAGGATATTTATAGAATTCCTAAAATGCTCTTAATTAATATTATACATTATAATTATCAAAATTATTAATTTCCTAATTTAACATTTGATTTGTGCTTGAGATTGGATCTCACGGTTACCGCAACAAAGCAGTTCTCATTTGATTAAGCCCATATATATGAGAGAGGTTGGTTATTATACAACTTTTTACATTTGTACAACYAATACAACTCAATCTCAACCGTCCATTTAATTTGATGAATATGTGATTTTATATAAGTTTTGATTGTTTTCTAATATAAAGTATTGATCATAATTAATGAACTATATTCATCTTTTATAAATATTCAAATCACAATAAATAAACTCTCATCATTTCTATAAATATATCAATTAATTAGGTTACATTGGTTGTACAAATGGACATATATATATATATATATATATATAGGGGTAAGATCAAATGTTAACCAAAGTTTTTGTGTTGACTTTGTTAACCGATCTTGGTCATTCAATCTTTCAACAAACGGTTGTGATTAATTATGATAAAAACTTATTTTTTTAAATTTAAAATTGCATAAAGATAAGTGAACAATGTTGAAAAGGGTATTTAGGTAAAAAAAAATTATGTAACTCTCATATCATTAATTAATTGGGAGTTACAAAATTAAAATTTCTATGATTTTTTTGTTAATGTAAGAACCATATGAACACAACTATATATATATATATATATATATATATATATATGAACCATTGTGTCAAATACGAACAAAAATTTGACATATATATGAACTTGGACGGCATATCATTTATGAACACAATATGAACATAATAAGAATAACTGCTATACAAAAGAAAATAAATAAAAAAACAGGTATGAACACGATATGAACAGCTTGTGAACAATAGTTCCTTCATTATAAACACATTCAGGAGCGATACTTTGTCAATTGGAGTTTTATACATGCATTGCATCCACACCGTTTAAGGTTCACCCCTTGTTCATATATGTTTCTGATCTTATATGGTTGTTCACCCCTTGTTCATATCGTATTCATCTCTTGTTCATATCGTATAAAATATATGAACACATAACCCCAACGCTATGAACACCGGGTGCAAACACTTACACAAATATAAAGATTTGGTATCAAGCTTAAAAAATAACATTTGTGTTCATATGATAGAAGCAACATGAACACAATGGTCCATGATTCATAAAAGTCGGTATATGGCAATATGAAAATGGGACGTGCATGTACTTCGATTTGAACATGTGAATTAGGTACGTATTTTAATAATTAAAGAAAAAAACTATCAATACAAGATGAGTTATAAAAAACACAACACATCGTAATTAACATAATTTCGATTAAAAGGAATCTAAAAAAAATAAAAATCTATTACCAAGACATTCGTTTTTGTTAATTTCTTCAATTTCCGACATCGAACTCCGATTGTCATCATAAACTATTTTAATCTTATAATTGTTGTCGATTTATTTTCCATTGCGTTTATCCATATTAGCTTGATCGATACCGAAAATTTTTACTGCCGTGTTTTCTATACGAATTAAAAACTGATAAAACAATAAATATGGAAGATCAAGATTAAAAAAATAAAAATATTAATATTATAAATGCATATTTTTTGGGATTTGATGATTTCTAACTCCCTATTAATTGTTTGAGAGTTACATATCAAATAAATTTACTGAAATACCCTTGTAATTAAAATGTGAACATGACCTAAACCTACAAGAAGAATGGAATTTGATTGGTTGCCATGGTTTTCAAAGTTAACACAAAGTTGTTGGTTAACATTTGATCTTCCCCCTATATATATATAAGGTTGGGTTCTAGTGAGAATGAAGTTACAATAAGAAAAGATTTTCACTCGTGGATCAATCTTAATTGAAATGTCAACACTAATGAGGTGCACTTAAATGCACCGAATCAATTATCTTCTTAAACACAATTCATGGATGAATATGAGATTAAAAGTAATAAATGGTCATATCTCTTCTTACCGAAAGTTAGATGAGTAAATTTGGTGTAAAGGATTATGGTAGATGATTAAATTTGGTGGTATAAAATCATGAAAGAGTCGACATTAACTGAAAAATGGATGTCTTAAAACAATTGAACTTGTTTTATTTTGCAACGCTTTGATTAGTTTTATTTATTTGTTGTTAATCGTTTTAAACGTTATATCTAAGTACCATTTTCATTAATTCGGGTAACCGTGAACCGAACCACAGGTAACCGCCTTATTTCGATTCATTTCGATGTGGTTCTGTTCAACCAAAAATTCGGTTTCAATTCAGATAACTAAATATCCATGATTAATTTCACATTTTCCCTAACAATCAAACTAAACCATAAATACCCCTACCTTTTTCGTACAACATCACCTTTCTCAACCCACATATGTGGACCGGCCCCCTCCTTTACTTTGTTTTTCTTATGGATGTAGTTTACCTTCACGAGCAAGTAAAATTTAAAGTGAAAGTACAATTTTAGTCCTTGTAGTTCATAGGAAACTATGAAAGTGGAACCTATTTTGCAAACATTACATAAATGGTTAGAATGGTAGCATTTTGTTTTGAAATTAGTACACAAACTTAATCCGTTTAATGATAGTATCGGTAGTTAAGTCAGATATATTGTTTTTCTTACGTTAAAAAGTTAGTGTACAAGTTTATGTAATTTCATGTACAAGTGCGACTATCTTTTTAAAAAGTAATAATAAACTATTTCTCGTTTTTTCATAACTACAATTAGTTATACAGAGACAAATGGTTATTATTATTTTAATATTAAATACTCTCTTGAATGGACGATATAAACTTTTTTTTAATAAAAAATAACAAAAACACTAACTAACAAAGTTAGAGCTACGGTTGATTTTAAAATAAACCGTTGTTTACGGTGACTATTTTTGTAGTGTTTGTAAAAAAACCACTTCAATATAGTTTTTATTAACTACATGGATCATAATTGTAAGGTTACCCTATATTTTATTGGAGTATCTCCTACCATTTGGTAAATCATCAAATTTGTCGGTGATATGATTCTAAGGGGTCGTTTACCAAACATTTATCTGGTAAGTGCTTATCGGTAAAATTTAATATTATTATTTAATTACTGGGTAAGATTTTAGTTCATTAAAACGATATCGTATGCAACAATTTATCCGGTAAGCGCTTACCTAGTAAGAGTCGCTGCCCTCATTTACCGGGTAAGACTCTTGGTATTTGTTTCGTTCTTATCGGGTAAGATTCTTGATTTTTACCATTTTCATGCAGCGAGGTAATGTTACTTGATAAACGCTTATCCGCTAATTGGTGGGTTAGCGGCTTGGCGGTTAGGCGGGTTGGGTTTAATTGAGTTGTTAGCGGGTTGACGGTTTTTTGTGCACCCCTAGTCCTGCCACTAAGCTTATAAAAAAATCAATTATCTAGTTTAACACAATTCATATTTTATTGAAAGTTTTCTAATTAAATATAGTAAATTATTTGAATCAATCTAATTTTTTGATGTAAAATTTATTAAATGAAATATGGTTGTTTTTTATTGTAACAAATTTTATTAATAAATTAATTACTAATTATTACTGTAATATGTATATTTACTAATATAACTATTTTATTTTAAAAATGGTTTATATATAAAATATGTTATTTTAATATGGTCTTACAACTTTAGTATCTTTTAGGGTCTCTTTTGGCTTGCAAAATTGTTTAAAAGAGATTTGGATTTCATGGATGAATTTGGATTGGAATCGATTTCAAATTATTGGTGTGTTTGGTTTGTAAGATTTAGAATGAAATTAAACTTCGTAACTTTATGAACAATCTATTAAAGGATTACGAATAATCATAAAAATAATTAGTTTACATTTTTATTAATCGATTGTTATAAAACATATGTTTTCAACATTTCTTAAAACCTTATTTCATATAATCCTATCGAAATCCCGTGAAATCCTAAGCACTCTCTAAGGGTGCGTCTGGTTTGTAGGAATCCATCGAAATCTTATATAGAATTGGAAAGGTCAATTTCACTGACAAAGTTTCATTCCAACTTTTGGTTACCCATTAAATGGAATTGAATTCCAAACATTCCTTCATCTAATGATTTCACTATTCTTGCATAAAAGATATGGAATTGAAATCTATTTCATCCAAAAATAAATAAATGACAAAAATACCTCCATGACAACTAGTTTCTCTCATCTTAATTACCTTACACGACTTTTGCTTCCATTCTCTCGACTACTTCCAATCATCGGTTGCTTCCAATCGATCGAAGATAGGTACGATTTCTACTTACTTCGATTTCTGCATACGGTTTTTATTCCGATTTTAGTTTGATTTTTGCTTATCGAAGACGGGCACAATTTATTGTTTCCAATTTCTACTTGCTTCGATTTCTGCTTACTGTTTCCTATTTAACGACTTCATAATACCATTTTTGTTCCAATTTGTACTTCAATTTTTGCATATTGTTTCCGATTTCTGTTTCAACTTGTTCCTAACCTGTGTCCAGTTCTGATGAACATTCTCCTATTATGTCAAATTTAGATTCTCCATGTTTTTTGCTTCTTCTTATAACTTCCCAACAATCTATAATAATCCAAATTAATTAAACATTCCATGCAAAAAAACTATGAACTAATTTGAAAGTCATATTTTGACCGGACGTTTTCGAGATGCCGCTAACAACCAAATTTGCACATTTAGATGCTACTACCATACTATCAAGAGGATTAGCGCACAAGACTTCTAGTAAAGCTTTATTACTAGTTACCAAGCACAAGATACAAAAAAAGGATAGACCAGTAAACAACATAGGTGGCACAAAGAAAGGGTATTTTTGTTTTTTTTCCATCATTCCATACCAATTTTGTTGCAAACCAAACAGACAAATTCTAATTCACTATACATATTACATTCAATTAATGTCAACTAATCACTTGGTCAAACCTGATAACATTTCATTCTAATTCCTTCAAGATTCCAATTCATTTGACATGTTCCATTCCTTCAGGAATCATTATGCGAACCAAACACCCCCTAAGGATTTCAAAATCCTATGTTTGTAGGATTTCAAAATCCTATTTTTGTAGGATTTCAAAATCCTATGTTTGTAGGATTTCAAATTCGGACAATCCAACAAACCAAACATAAGATTGAAATATATTTGAAATACAAAACCTCCCAATTTCATTATATTCCCTCAAACCAAACTGAACCTTAGAGTATGGTTAGAGTTGAGACTGGTTTTAACGTTGGAGGATATGTTGTTTTTGTTGTTTTAAGGGTTTGTTTTTGGTGTCACGAAGGGAGATATTACAACTAAAGTTATTTTAATGTTGGAGAGTCGATTATTACAAGTTTGTTTTTGTTGCATATAGAAATCTTATGTGTTTCTTGTAGGTTGTAACTTCGTATTTTTTTAATCCTATTTCCTATGTATTAGAGCAATGGAAAATGCACCTATGTCTCAAAAAATCAAAGACAGTGATGAACCAAACACGTTAAGAAAACGGAAGGTAGAACGTCAAACGTTTGTGATCACTGTTTAAAAAAGAACTCTGGATGTGTTTGGAATTATTGTGGAAATGATTATGCTTATCATAGTAAGACAATTGGTACAACTTTTTTATGTAATCACTTAAGAAACCAATGTAGGTGTGATAAAATATAAAAAAAATATTAGCTTTCATACTAGCAATGATAATGAGGTGTCATTTAATAAAGAGAATGTCGAAAAGACGTGCTAGGTTTGTGGTTAGTGATGTAAGGGTGAAGGATTTAGATAACTTATTAAATTGTTGCGACCTAAATTTGGTATCCCAAACAGAATTAAGTTTTGCTAGAGATATCTATTGGTTGTTTTGTGATGAGATAATTGAATTGAAAAAAGAGTCAACACACACACACACACATATATATATATATATAGATGATTGTAATAACCAATAATTTTATTTGGTATAATTTTAGTATTATCTATCGTATTCATTTGTCTAACTTTATGTATATTACTAACCCGATAACCCAATCCAACTCGTCATAACTCACAAGGGTTGAGTTGGATTATACTTTTGAATAACTTAAATTGAGTTGAGATTTTCCAAACCGGTTGAGTTGTAAAAATGTCAAAAAGCATACAATCCAATTTGTGTACACCCCTAGATATATGATGATAAAAAAAGAGTAAACTACAAATTTGGTCCCTTTTGTTTGTTGTTTGTAACACTTTTGGTTTCTATAGTTTCAAAATTATAAATTAGCCATCATGGTATATAAAAACAACCGGATTTGATTCATTCCTCGAATGGCCGTTTAGAAAACCCGTTAACTCAAAGCTATTTTTTGTCTTTTTTAGAATTCTGTTTTATTTTCTATCAAAACTTAAATATCTTCTAGGTTCATCCACTAAAATAATGACACATGTCCACCTCCTTCCCAAAAACTTCAAAACCCTTTCGGCCCAGCCCTCTGAACTTCACCGGTAACTTTTTTTCCCGGCAATTAAGTGGCCATCTTCTCCGACATCGGAACAAAACCCAAATCAAACTTTTAATTTGAACCAAAGCCCATTTTCCAAAACAAAACACGAAAATACAATGTAAACAAATTGTTAATACAAATCTCTCATATCATATAGATTGCATTTGATACATGAGACGAGACATGATATGACGGAACAAACACACTGTCCCATGTGTTGGTGTGGCATGGGACATAACAAATAACTCACTGTCCCATGTTTGGCGTAACATGGGACAAGGACAAAAATTAAGACAATATGAGACAAAATAGGTTTTTTCTTGTTATACCAAAATAGGTAAAGTTGTAAAGTTAGTTTTTAATATTTCAGTCACGAACTTATTTATTTTAGCTTTCCAATCATCAATTGAAGTTGATAATTTTAGTTTGAACACGTTTGCATCAAATTATTTTATTATTATTAACATATAACTATACATTGATGTACATTGTAAGCATTAAGAAGTATAACACCCCAAAATCTCTTTACTTAATGGAAATACCGAAATACAAATATTAATTTTGTAACACCTCAAAACTTTAAGTTCAAGTACTTGTGAGTAGGATAAGTGAAATGAAAGAGGGCTAAATTGATAGGTAACTAAAATATGTTCAAGTGAACTTGGGTTGGAGGTTCAGAGAGTATCTTGGGCGACAACGGTTATGGAGACGAAATGAGAGAGGGGCAGAGAGTAATGGCTAAAATATCCGTCATTTTCTTTCACTCTTAGGTTTACCAAAAGAGAAGCAATAGAGATGTAAATACTTGCAAAAAACGTGATGTTTGGGTCAAATCAAGCGATGTATATAACCATGACTTGATGTTGCTTACACATTTTGCTATATCCCAAATGAAAGTTCGTTGGTATTAAACGATGTTTCATTGTGTCTTCAAAATCAGTTGAAAACATGCTTAATGATTTTAAAGTCGAGACAAACACGCGAAACTAATATTGAATTAATTGCATATTTCATGGATGATTAAATCAGAATTATGTGATGTGGCCATAAGTGTCATTACCGAGTTACCGGTAAAGAACGGCGGAAAACTGCAGATGATAACTGATAGTCAGTACATATACCAGAAGAGGTACTTATGAGACTGCATTATGGAACAATAACCATGACATGTGACTTCAAACACCTATGAGTTTGACTAAAGATATATGGATTGATGGAGACCCACTATGCAAAGTGAATGTATTGAGATCTCTAATGCATACTCATATGATATTGAATGCATGACGTTTTATGAAAGTTTTGTCATAAACGGCAGTGTTTTCTATTTATGACTGAAATGACAAAACCATGAACTCACTTAGCGTAAAGCTAACGTCAACATGTACCCCAGGATATGGCATGATCAAGAGTAGGAAAGAGCAAATGTATGATTCGAGAACGCAAGACTTAGGCCGTACGTCGTACGAACCTGACCAAAACTGCAACCAAATGCAAGTGCAGGGATGATTTATGTAAAATTTAGGGGGAAAAAAATAAAAATAAAAAGGAAGAAATTTAGGTCAGAGGAACCATTAAAAACCCTCCTCGCGGGTTTTTCTCCCCATCCGCAGTCTCCACCATGTACGGACAGCCACCGCACTTCAGCCGTCGTGGTGGCGGCCGAGGGCAACCTCCGCTGCAACAACCACCACAGCCACTTCTCAACCCTAGTTACCTTCTAAACAACAACTACTACCTCCAAACTCCAAACTTTCCAATCCTCCATCCGAATTTCCCCATTGAAAACCCCAATTTTCTCCCCCAAAGCATTAACTTCCCAATTGAAAGCCCAAACCTCCATAGCCAAAACCTTAACTTCACCCCTCATAATCAGTTCCCCAATAATAGAGTGACACCGCATAATGGAACTATTGAGAAGATTGATAAAGCCGTTGTAAAGGCACGCCGTGAGCTCATAGCCGCCGGAGAAAATGTGTCGGCGTTGAAGGTGTCACAGGCTGCCCTTGTAGTACTTCAAGCTGATTCATGGGATTCATTAGGGGTTCAAATGCAACATGTGCCATCTCTATATCGCCTCATGCTGACAGAAGGGAAGGTAAAAAGATATATAAGGGGCTGTTTAGTTGTTTTCCATTAAGACGTATATGATAAAAGCTGTCTGTGTGGATTAATTGGTTTTTATGGGAGGGTTTTTTCATAACTGAAACACGCCTGTTTTTTATTTGGAAGGTGACTTACTGACTTTCTGCAGCTTACTGAATAAGCCACTTTCAAACAGTCACTTATAGCTGACAAGCTGTGAGTCCTATTAAGCTCGTTCTAATAAACAGGCCAGGCCCTAAATTGTGTCCATAATTCCAAAATAGCGACACGTTCAACTCTTTATGCCAATCTTACTGCTTCCTGATTTCGAAGTTGATATGAATTTTAGAACTTTGATGCGACAGTTTACTTTTACATTAGACTTTAAACATTGATTATTTATGGTAATTCTGACTAAGAACTGTAAGATGCTAACGCGACGGAATGGCTTTACAAGTAAACAGTTTTTGGAACCACGATTATTTTTCAAAACAGTTTTGAAAGTAGGATTGTTTCAGTAACAATTTTTTGAAGTTCAAGGACTCAATTAGAAAGTGTGTTGCTAATTATCATAGATTGCCCTAAAACGCAAGGAACATGGAGGTATGTTTTGTTCAAAATGTGTAGCTAGGTGTGGTAGTACATCATATGTATAAGGAGAAGACTCTTACCGAGTAAGCACTTATCGGGTAAAAGACGCTTACCAACAATCCATTTGATGGCCGAGAATGTTACCCGATAAGGTGACGGTGGTAACTATCGCTCATAAGCGGCCCTAAGCACTGAAAACAAGAGTTATTGAAATATAAACATATTTCAAGAATTTTCAGGCCGAATTGGTGTCTGCTTTTATTTATTTATTTATTATTTTTGTATGTATGAGGCATGAAAGGATCCATATTCTCGATTGCTGTTTGAGTGCCATAACTGCTGATCACTTTGTACACTTTAATTCCGTTTCTCATACCTCAGTGAGGATACATGTGATTTTTTTTATTCTTATTCAGATAAATGCATTCATCCATTGCTTTGTTGAGGTCTGGAAGATTACGACCTTATTCGATTTAGAGACTGCAATATGCAAGAATGAGGGTGTTCAGGGGTTTGAAGAGCTTGAGTTGGGACCCTTTATCCGGCATCCTCTTATAAATCATTACTTTTGTGTGAGTTCTGATTCGGCTGGAGTATTCAAAATATCGAGCAAAGAGATAATTTCTTTTCTTGTTGAATTTATGGACGCACATAAAGGCGAAGAGGTTAAGGCTGATGAATTGTTGGATTTTATTGCTAAAAAGCGATCAGTTGATAGCAAGGAAATGCTTCATGTACGTATCCAAAGCTTGGGGTATGTTTTACAAGGACTACTCTTTAGTTTCTTAGCTGCAACTTGTTAGCATTACACATCTTCATGGTGGCAGTGTACATATTATCGTTTGACGTAAAAACTATTTCTTTACTAATTAAATATCGTCATTTTTCTTATTTGTAGTGCTTTTCATACAATTCAGTTAAATTTTAATTCTTACAAAAGGGTTTAAGGTAAAATGATATTAGAATAGAAAACACTGCTTTAATTGAAAAACATGCATCTTTGTTTCTCTCAAAAGGAAAGAAGTATTATTCATATATTTACTAACCAGTAGATTTTTTCCCGACTAAATGAAATAGAAGCATGTCCATCAAGGAGTTCTTTGTATGAAATTCTTTGTTCAGTCATCCTTTTTTGTGAATGCTTTGTTTTGATAGATTATATGTGTAACCATTTACAATTAAAGGTTCGTTCACTGCCCAAAATATTTGAAAGACTATAGTTGTGATCATATGTTAAACCTGACGGGCCGATGATATTTCAACATGATCTTTGCATTGTTATTGGCTTCTCTATTCTACTGGCAAGCTCTTTTGGCTTGCACTATAGAGTGCTTTGTTATCATTTGGTAACTCTTATAAGATTCGACAGTCAGGGTGCGTTTGTATCCTAGATAAGACAGGACATAACAGGATAGCACAATTGCTTAGTGTTTGGTAAGACAGAACTGGACGGGACATAATAGATAAAATGAAGAATTTACCCCTAATGAGTTGTTTAAATATTTTGATTAATTTATGTAATTTCTCAAGTTATAATACATTTAAATATTTTTTAAAACAAAATATATCATTAGAAAGTTTTCGTGAAGATGATTAAAATGACACCAAAATAGAAAGTTCACGTAGTTTCCAATTTTTATTTTATTTTTATCATTAATATTTAATGAATTACATAAATTAATCAAAATATAGAAACCGTATAAAAATTAATATTTTGAAGACGGTAAAGTGAAAGTTTGAAGAGCATAAAATACCATAAATAAAATTTAAAGAATGAATAAAATGTAAAGAGGAAGGTATATTTGATGTTTTAAAAGAGAAGTAGTAGGTTTTATTTTAAGGTTATATTGGTAAAATATAGGTTTGTACAACCTTGTTCCATCGGGTGGGGTTAGGGGTAAGGGTAGGGGTGGAACAAGCCTGTTCCTATCTGTTTCACATAGAAGTCCTACCAAATAAGGAACAATGATCCCTGTTTTGTTCTTACCTGTCCATTGTACCAAACGCGCCCTTGGGGGCATATGGTGTACTCTGATTTTGATGGATATTACCTTTAAGAGAATATTGATCTTCACTAAATAAATGTAACTTCTTTTTGTGTAGGATGCATATTGCTCTAATTCGGCAAGCAAGGCCATTGGAAAATGCCACATTAAAGAAATGTCGCTTGACTGCTGATAAACATAGGAAACGTCCTCTTTTCATGTCACAGAAAAAGCAGTTGGATGAAAATTTTGGTAACATATCCGAGTGCATCAAGTCATTTTCTTCCGGGCACAACAAGCACATACGATTTATATCTTCAAGTTCGGGTGACGATGACGATGACATCGAAAGTGATGGCACAGAGGATGGAACTTGTTTGAGTAATTATAGCAAAAACTCATCTCAGAGTATGAAAAGTTCTGATCGATTTAGTAGTTGTCCTTATCCTTCTGCAAGTGAGGAGATGACACGACTTGGAATATCAAGTGGGAAGGAAGAGAGTCCTTCACTTGATAGGTTAAATTGCAACGAGGGTGTAAAAAAGTTGAACAAAAAGAGGAAATCGGATGCAATAGACTGCAAATCTATTGCCCGCAACAAATCGTCCAAAAGGGATGATGTTGGACAGGATTCCGTGGACAACAAAAGCAGTAATAGGTTTAGCCATGGACATGTAGCTGATATGTCACTAAGCGATGATTCTATGATGACGTTCATTACTTTGTGGAAGGAGGCATGCAAAAGGAAGAACACATCTGAGGTTTGTGATTTCTTGTCTCTTTTGTTGGTACTCCACTCTTTTTGAGTGATGTGTTGTCTCTAGGGGTGTAAACGAGCCGAGTCGAGTAGCATGTTGTTTGAGCTTGGCCCGAAAATATAACATCAAGCTCGAGCTCGATTAACTTTTTCAAAGTCGGGATCGGGCTCGAGCTCGAGCTCAAATATATTTTTTCAATGTTTGAGCTCGAGCTCGATGTTTGTTTATGAGCTCGAATTTGAGATCAATTAACTCGTTTATCTACTCAAGCTCGATGATTTATGTTCTGATGATATGATTTGTAAAACATATAAATATGTTTTGCTTTGAAAAAGTGTATGCTAGAATAGCTTGGCTCGACTCAACTCGTAAAGTTTAATCGAGCTTTCGGTTGAGTTGAGTCCAACATTGGTGTTATGGAGCTCGACTTGTTAAGTTAAGCAAGCTTTATTTTGTGTTCGAGATCGGCTCGGGCTCGATAATTATTAAGCTCGAGCTCGAGTAGCTCTTTAAAAGCTTTACTCATTTACACTTCTAGTTGTCTCTCGTTTGAGTGCTAATAAAACCACATGATGCCGGAATTGGATATTCTATATCTTTTTGCCGGTGGTTTACTAACTTTCTTATTTTATGCTTCTCATGTCTCCAAGTGTGTGTTTGTACTTACTCCTAACCTCCATATCACTTCCAAGCATCGGATACTTCTATGATGAGTCTAACAACAGGAGCAATCTATCATTTTTTTTTCTCTCTGTTTCATTTTGACAAACATGGCTAATAGCTTGTTCTCTTGATGCCCCTTTTAGGTACTCAATCAGATGTTCCAGTTCTACAAATCTCCTTGTGGATCAAAGATGCAGAGAAAATTGGTTCAGAAAATTTACCAGTCCCACCCTTTAATCGGATTAACAAATGTTGCGGTTAGTCAATCACCATCTAGTCATCATTGCATATCTTCCATTTCTTCTTGGAAACTTAAAAAATTTCTGAATAACTAGGACAACCATCGATGGAATACTGTATTTGGCAATGCTAATTCTAAATACATTGTTTTCAAATCTGCGTGAAATGAATGGAATAATGGAACTCAGATGAAACAGATAGGAACTTACAAATTCTTATTTCTTCATTTCTCGGAACATTAGCAGAATGATCATACCACCATTTCCATTTATCCTGAATAAAGTCAAAGGAGTTCAGCATGCAGACATTATTTATGATTATAAATTTATATGATACGAAAACTTCCTTCGGTAACAGTTTTTACATTATAGGATTAAATGGGTCAATTTTGTCCCTTCTAATTATCGACAATTGTGAGGGTTCGCTTGGCAGTTTACAGTCGATAAGTCGATGTCCTTCCTTTCAGGTAAAATCTATTAAACATGGAATGTGGGATAGCATGTATGACAGTTTTCAAACTTTTGAGCAACAAGAAGAACCTTTCACAGCTTCAGAGGGTCATATTGATAATGGAAGGATAGAAACAGAACATGCTGATAGTCGGCTTGTCAGTAATCATGTCTCAAAACAACATTGTGGTGAGTGTTTCTGTTTTGACTCAGGCTTAATTGAACCCGACTGTACTTTAGGGAAATCTGATTCTAAGATTGTTTTCACTAGTTCAACTTTCTTTCTGGTATAGAATTAGTGATAAGGTTTGCCAAGATTGGATCTAATTAATTCTGCATCAAAGGGTTAAATTCTTTCTAGGAAGAATTCTCTCTATGCCTATGATACGATTGGCATGACTGGGGATCTTTTTTTAAAAGAGCAACAATTGCCTTTAGCAAATATTTTATGGGCCAAAATGGGTTGCGCAGGGTTGACTTGTTAGACACTTTCTTTGTCCAATTTTAGATTTATCGATGATTAATGTATAAAATATGTTAAACGAAAGCTATACTGTTAAAATAAGAATATACTTAGCGATTTAGAAGGTTGTAAGAGCATCTCCAACAGATTCTCCAAACCGGAGATTTTGGAGATTTTTGCTCGAACAGATTCTCTAGAACCTTCGTTAAAATAGAGGAAGTAGGAGAGAATGATGAAAATTTCCAAATTTGGAACCCAAAAATGATTACTTGGGAAGAGAAATGATTTTTTATATTTTCTACCTATGATAATCCTTGAAATTAAATGTTTAGGAGAGAGAAATAATATTTTATAAATTGTATTGAATATTTTAATAATATAAATAACATCGTAATCTCCAATATGGTGAAGTTGTTGGAGATGAACCTAAAATTTTCTTGGAGACTTTGATTTTTGATTCTCCATTTTGAGAATCTGTTGGGGATGCTCTAAGCATTTTAATACACGTCGGACGACTTTCAATCCGGTTAAACCATTTCATTTTTGGGTAGCTTTTAATTTTTTACTAATTTGACCGATTGAAGATAAAAGGTAACCCACATAGATCCATTTAGGAAAATGGGTCGAGTTTTGCCACCTCTACATGAGGTAATGTCTCATTGTTTATTCTCACCTTACATGTTTTTTTGTTCGTTTGTATGCACAATGCAGAAGTTAGTCTTGAAGATATATTGAAGAAAGTTTCTGAATTCTTTGAAGATAATCATGATGTTTTCGGTGATTTCAGTTCCTCTCACTTGATCTTCCTTAGAAGTGTTCACAAGTGTGAGGTATGGCTTACCGAGCAGTTTGTTGTTGAAAACTTTAAGTGCTTTGGATATGGTGATTTTGTAGCATTTCTTGAAAGTAATGTTTCTGTGTTACCTCCTTCATTCCAAAAGTACTTTGTGACTGATGGGACACATGATAAGCCATCTTTAGAGGCTTGCATATCCCCACAGCTATTGGATGTGCTAGTAGCACAAGCCTCGTATAGCTTATTAGAAACCGAAAATTTAAGCACTCAGAATGTTGTCGAGTTGCTTACGAGGCAATTCCCGTTAATACCTTTCAAGTTAGTTAAAGAAGGTTCTCAAAAAGCCCTTGAGGATGTTGTAAAGGCCAACAAAGGCAATCTGGTTTCTAAAGGTGTACTATTTTCAGCCGCTCTATTAGTGCCTCGTAATGTGAACGGTTCCTTGGAAACATGTATTTCTTCTAAGGATGCAATTGAAGTCTTACTTAAGGCTCCGATGTTGACAGATTTGAATATATGGTCACATTGGGACCTTAAGTTTGCCCCTTCTCTTGGCCCTCTTACTGTATGGCTATTAAACGAGATGAATGCCAAGGAACTGCTTTGCTTGGTTACTAGGAGTGGGAATGTGATACGCATTGATCATACGGCGACCGTTGATTCATTTTTAGAAGGTTTCATTCAAGGGTCTTCTTTCCAAACAGCCGTAAATCTGATCTCCCTGTTTGCACTGTATGGCGGTGAAAGGAATGTTCCCTCGTCCCTTCTAAGGTGCCATGCGGAAAAGGCCTTCAAAGTTATCGTGAAGAATTCTATCAATAATGGGGTGAAGGATCATCGGAATCATCAGAATCATCTAATGAACGATTTGTCCAATGAGAAAAGCCGACTCAATGATGGGACATCAAGTGCATCAAAATTTATTCTGGATTGTCTGACTTATCTACCCGTAGAATTTCGTTGCTTTGCCACTGATTTGTTGCTTTCAGGGTTTCGTTCCGCTGCCAAAGATGCTCCTTCGGCCATTTTAAGCCAGTGCAAACTTGTAGAACACCGTCTAATGGTTCATGAGTTAGGATTGTCTCTTGGTATAATGGAGTGGATTAATGATTACCATACTTTTTCTTTTACTGAATCCATTAAGTCTTCTGAATTTGATCAAGAAAAGGACATATCAACCAGTTATGCCCCTGCTGAAAAGAAAGGGATGTTATCTACAAAGAATGATGTGCAAAAAGAGGAACTTAAAGTAGTCAATGTCAATGGCAGAACCGTAAACTTTTCTGGTGATAGAAGTGATCTTAATCACAAGCAACATTCAGCTACAAGTAATTGCGAAAAGGAATCAGCCATGATTATTGAATCTATTAGGAGAGAAGAATTCGGGTTGGATTCAGATATCTCGGCTAAGGAGGATAGCATTCTGAAGAAGCAACATGCTCGCTTAGGACGAGCCTTACATTGTCTTTCTCAAGAGTTATATTCTCAGGACTCTCATTTTCTACTTGAACTCGTAAGTGCATCCTTTTCACTTCCTTCAATGTTTCTCTTTTGTTTCGAGGTGGGAAAATGGACGGGCCAGTGGGGCGGGTATGAGTCAAAGCGGGTAATTTTTAATATGGGTCAGAAAGTGTCGGGTTGAGTTGACCCGCCAACACTTTTTTCTCCAGTTCTTTTAGTTTTATAAATAATTAATTTATTTAATTTGATTAAAGCTATATTAGTAAAATAATTATGAGTAAATTATGTTTTTCGTCCCAGTGGTTTGTTAAAAATTGCAATTTTCGTTCTTATGATTTAGAAATTGCAGTTTTCGTTCCTATGGTTTGTAATTTATAGCTATTTTCATCCTTATAATTGAAACTTATTGTTGTTTCGGTCCCTATGATTTATAGTTCTTTACTGTTTTAGTCCCTTATATTTTAAAGGTAGACACTAGTCCAGGGACGAAAATAGCAATAAATTGCAAACCATAGGGACGAAAATTGAAATTTCTAAACCACACGGACGAAAATCGTAATTTACTCAAGAATTATCTATTTCTATAGTAAAGTGATCCAGGAGGTTATAAGTATTTAAATACACTTTGGGTGACTTTCTAGCCTTTTGATTTTTTATCTAAGTTCTTAAATTTTACCCATTTGACCTATTTGAGATAAAAAACACCCCAAATGGACCCGTTTTTGGATAAATAGGTTGAAATTGCCACCACTATCCGGTGTGACTATACATTTCTTTTCATGTTTATGTGTGGCATCGAACTATTTCATTTGTCTACAAAGCTTTTATTTTTTCGAAGCAAATCTTGATTTTGTTAAAAGCTAATATTTTTTGGTAAGTTTTGTTGACACGGTGATTCTGCTATGTAACATGCTCTTTCTCCTTCTCATCCCTAGGTTCAAAATGCCGATGACAATGTCTACCCTTGCAATGTGGAGCCAACTCTGACCTTCATTCTTCAGGAAACAGGGGTTATAGTCTTGAATAATGAGCGGGGATTTTCTGTTGAAAACATTAAAGCACTTTGTGATGTTGGCAATTCAACAAAGAAGGAACCTAGTGCTGGATATATTGGTAAAAAGGGGATTGGCTTCAAATCAGTATTCCGGGTATATAGACTATTTCTTTACTACCTGATATATAAGTTCCATTATTTATATTCTTTTATATAGACAAATTGCCCATAAATTACTTGTATGCATGTGTGCATACCGTCCAAATGAATGGTTATGTTATATGAGGGTGTTCCTCAGTTTTCATTTTTTTTTTGGAGTTTTCCCTGAACCCCTCTCATTTTTTTTGGGTTTTCTCTGAACCCCTCTCATTTTCTATAAATGAATAAAATCTGCATTTGAAGGAAGGTTCATCTCATCTTTTGCTCTACAACATCACATTAGTTTTAGATATTGCTCATTGGTAAGTTGTATTTCCAATTGTGCCCCCAGAACATGCACACATGAATCTGAAACAGGGGTGGAACCTGGAATTCTCTTTAGGGTTAATCTATCTTAAGTATATTGTAGATTGTTTGTGCATGCTTAGATGTATTGTTTTAATAGATCTTAGGGACTGTTTGTTAGCTGCTTAATGAGCTTAATGGGACTCATAGCTTATTCGGTCAGCTATACATGACTGTTTGATAGTGTCTAAAAAGTGACTTAGGGGCTGTTTGGTTGGTTTTCTATTAAGTCCTATATGGATAAAATTGTCTGGATGGATTGATCTGTTTGTATAGATTGGGAAGATTTGTTGCATCTGGGCTAATAAGTTTATGCTAAACTGTGGGATTTCTTGCTTCTTGACTTCATACTTCTTCTATTTGATCTACTTCCAGGTTACTGATGCTCCGGAAATCCATTCTAATGGGTTCCATATCAAGTTTGACATAAGCGATGGTCAAATTGGTTTCGTTTTGCCAACGGTGGTTCCACCTTGTGACATTGATTTGTTTAGAAAGTTGGTTTCTGTGAATAGTGATCCAATGGACGAGAAATGTTGGAATACGTGCATCGTGCTTCCTTTCAGATCAAAGAAAAACGAAGCCTTTTCAGTCGAGAACCTCATTTCCATGTTTTCTGATCTCCATCCATCCCTGTTGCTCTTCCTTCACCGTCTTGAATGTATCAAGTTCAGAAATCTTCTAAACGATTCTCTCATTGTCATGAGGAAGGAAGTTGTTGGAGATGGTATTGTAAATGTTTCTCTCGGGAAGGAGAAAATGACTTGGTTTGTCAAATCTCGTAAACTAAAAGCTGATCATATCCGTCAGGATGTCCAAACAACCGAAATCTCAATGGCACTTATGTTGGAGGATTCGAATGGAAACTACAGCCCGAAACTGGACCACCAGCCGGTTTTTGCTTTTCTTCCTTTACGCAATTATGGTCTAAAATTTATCATCCAAGCCGATTTCATTCTTCCTTCGTCAAGGGAGGAAGTCGACGGAGATAGTCCATGGAACCAGTGGCTGTTATCGGAGTTTCCAAATTTGTTTGTTGGTGCTGAGATGTCGTTCTGTTGCCTTCCTTCTTTTAAGGAGAATCCCGGAAAGGGTGTTTCAGCATTTATGAGCTTTGTTCCGCTTGGAGGGGAAGTGCATGGATTTTTTTCTTGCCTTCCACGTATGATTATTTCTAAGTTGCGTATTTCTAACTGTCTACTTCTAGAAGGTGACAGCAACGAGTGGGTGCCTCCATGTAAAGTACTGCGAAATTGGACGGAACAGATTCGTTCCGTGTTGCCAGATATCTTGATGAAGGAGCACCTTGGCGTTGGGTACTTGAATAAAGATACAATAATATCGGACTCCTTGGCTCGGGCATTGGGGATTGAAGAGTGTGGACCAAGAATTCTTCTTCAAATTATAACATCCTTATGTCGTATGGGTTCTCTAAAATCGATGGGTCTCAGTTGGCTATCGTCTTGGCTGAATGTTTTGTATCTGATGTTGGTTAATGTTTCTGAGCATAGTTCGATAGATTGTGGAACTCAGTCCGATATTATAAGTGCCCTTAGCCAATTACCATTTATTCCTCTAATGGATGGTAAGTATGCATCAATTCATGAAGGTGCAATTTGGTTGCATACCGATGCCCGAGTTGATACCGAGCATGGTCTTGAAGCTTTTGGGAAGTTGTATCCCAAACTTCGAATTGTTAGCCCTGCCCTTTTCAATGATTCTTCTGGTGTGGAAAATGTAAACCAGATGCTTTACAAAGTTGGAGTTCAGCGGTTATCTGCACATGAAGTCCTAAAAGTGCACATCTTACCAGCAATTAGCAATGAAAAAGTTATGGCAGAAAGTAAGGAATTGATGACCGAGTACCTTTCGTTTATAATGTTTCACCTAGAATCACCTTGCCCCGAGTGTCTTGTAGACAGGGAGAACATACTGTCACAGTTACGTAACAATGCTTTTATTTCTACAAATCACGGGTACAAACGGCTTATTGACGTGCCAATTCATTTTGGTAAAGACTTTGGTAATCCAATTGATATGAACAAGTTGGTTGGTGGCACTGATATGAAGTGGTTCGAGATTGATAGCAGCTATCTTAAACACCCAGTCTACGCATCCTCACCTGGAGGAACATTGAAATGGAGGAAATTCTTGCAGGAATTAGGAGTCACCGATTTCGTACAGATAGTTCAAGTTGAAAAGAATATTGCCGACATACCTCATACCGTTCTCAAGAATATGATGTTAGATGATGAATGTATATCCTCGGGATCCATCGTCAAAGACTGGGATTCTCAAGAGCTAACACATTTGTTGTCAAACGCTTCCTCAAATGGCAATAGGGAAAAGGGTAAATACCTCTTGGAGGTACTTGATACACTTTGGGATGAATATTTTGGCGATAAGCTTACAGGTTTCTGCAGTGTCAATGGACAATGCAAGCCTTTTAAAGCTTCTGTTATAAGAATCTTTCATGGTATTCAGTGGTTGGCTTCTAGTATGGATGATCAACTTCACTTTTCTAAAGATTTGTTCCATAAATGTGAGGCGGTGTGTGCGGTTCTTGGTGACACTGCACCATATGTTGTGCCAAAGGTTAGTTTACTTTATTGCTTATGCTTTTGATCCATCAAATTGGACTGTCAATTCAGTTTTCAAGGAACAAAGATGGGTGTCATCGTATCAATTTGATATTTTTGACTTGGACTATCCATATTACATGGTACAGAAGATCTTAAATTGAACAACTTGTGTCAATTTAACAACTATGTGGGCATATATATATATATATATATATAGGGTCAACTTTAGGGGAAAACCACAAAAAATGAAAAATCGAGGAAAACCGTAGTGCATTCATCTGGATGGTAGTAATTTGTAAGAAATTTGTCTGGTATGCACATGTGTATAACATGCACACGTGCATAGAAGCTAAAAATCAACTGCAGTTACTTGTATGCACATGTGCATATTATATAGATGAATGGTTACCATAGTGAGGTTCGGGAGAAATCGAGATTTTTAGGTATAATAACCTTAAATGAGATTTTAATTAAATCTATGACCTTCTCATGAGGATAAATCCATTTTTTCTTTAATAGGCTAGGAGGTCAGGAATTTAAATTAAAACTCATTTAAGGTCATTTTTCTAAATGACCCCGGGGAACCCCCACAAAGAAAAAATGAAAAACCGAGTAACACCCCCTAATAACCGTTCAATGTTTCTTGGTTCCTATGCACGTGTGCATGTGCATACCGTACAAATGAAAGATGAATGGTTACTAAGGTGTTCCTCGGTTTTTCATTTTTTTGCGGTTTTCCCCTGAACCTGACCTTCTATATATCATTGGCCATCATTCTGAAATTCTTCCTTCGACATCCACCTCTTGAATACCCCGTCATTTTCTGTGGCCTGATTTTTGTTTGAAATGAGGACATGCTTGTAAGTTTAGTTTTTCTTTTATTAGCCAAACTATAATTCAGTAGAACTATCATCCTGGATGGACGAACTCCTGCACTAATATTCGTGATATATGTCGTCATTAAATAGGTTAACAATGTGAAGTTGTTGAATGATATTGGCTTGAAGAATATAGTTGCTCTTGATGATGCTTTATCTGTTCTAGAAGCTTGGAGAGAATATGAGAAACCTTTCAGGGCCAGGTATTACTATGCAACTCTTTCAGGAGTATATGTTTTTGTTTTTTGTGTGTGTGAATGGAGTGAGAACTCTTACTTCACTTTTGATTAGGAGAGAGTTTTACATATACACATGATCTTGTTATCACAAGTGTCATCGTTGTATACCACTATGTAGTTAGTTTGCCTCAAAATAAATGTCCGCATTTCTGCTTTAGTTTGTCCCAGGATACATGTCCACATTTATGTTTTAATTTGTCCCAAGATAAATGTCCACTTCTAAAAGTTAAGTGCATACTTTCCCATTCTACCCTTAATTATGAGATGGAGAAATCAATTACTCCCTCTATTACAAAGGGTAAAACTGTCATTGAGTTCACTAAAAGTGTAATAATTACACTTTTCTGAAACCGTGTCTTTTTCATTATGGATACCTATTTGGGGATGGAGGGAATATAAGTTTGTTTTGTTCTCTTCTATTTTCTTACCCTCTCTTTGACTTACTTTTTCTGATTTTGCTTACCAGCATATCTCAAATGTCCAAGTTCTACACATATATATGGAATGAGATGAACAACTCTAGGCAGAAGATAGTGGAGAATTTGCATTCTCAAGCTTTCATATTTGTACCTTACTCGTTTGGCTCTGCGCATGAAGTTGTATCTGGTTTATTCTTATCTCCCCATGAAGTATTTTGGCATGATTCTACCAGTTCAATGGAACAAATGAAGTCGATCCATCCTCAGCATGATCGACATATAACCCATCGTCCTTTCAGCAAGATGTTATGCAATATCTATCCTAGCCTCCACTATTTCTTTGTGAATGAGTTCGGGGTAGCTGAGAATCCTCCTCTACTTAGCTACCTTCAATCATTGCTGCAATTATCATCTGGGATTTTGCCATCAGGGGCAGCTAAAACAGTGAGTAAAACAATATGTCATATTTGTTTATATATATATATAATATATATATATATACCAATAACGTTGTCCATAATTCTTTTGTTACATGTGTTAGGTTTTCCAAATTTTTCAAAAATGGGCTGATGGATTAGAATATGGGTTTTTGAGTTCTGATGATATTGACTACTTGAAGAAGAGTATGGAGGAAAAGGAAATGACGGTACTTCCAACCGTGCAAGATAAATGGGTTTCCTTACATCAATCCTTCGGTCTTTTATGTTGGTGCGACGATGAGCAGCTAAGAAAGGAATTCAAGAACTTGAGCAATGTTGATTTTCTATGTTTTGGGGAGCTTAGTACTGAAGAAAAACAAATGCTTCAGGATAAGGTTTCTGTCCTATTTCGGAGACTGGGAATTCCTTCTCTTTCTGAGGTACTCTCTCTCTCTCTCATACACACACACATATTGTAATATAGGGATATAGGGTCCGGTTCAAATAAGAAAGCTAAATATCATGAGAAAGTAAGAAGGAAAGATTCATATGTGAATCATTAAAAAAATCCATTTAAAGATGCATATGTAAATCCATTTGAATAATCTATAACACCCGCTCATATGCACATCTTCAAATAGATATTTTCAGGTTTCTATGTGAATCATTGAAAAAATCCATTTGAAGATGCATATGTGAATCCATATGAATAATAAATAACGCCCGCTCGTATATGCATCTTCAAATAGATATTTTCAGGTTCATATGTGAGTCATTGAAAAAATCTGTTTGAAGATGCATATGTGACTCATATATGCATCTTCAGATATATATTTTCAATGTTTCATATATGAACCTTTTTCTTCTTACCTTCTCACGATATTTTGCCTCTTATTTGAACCTTCCACTAGGGATATAATATAAGTAAAGTTCAGCGATATCAATTAAGGACTATGTTCTATATAAGTTTGAAGTATATTATATCTTACGCAGGTTGTGACTCGTGAAGCAATATATTATGGCCCGACAGATAGTAGTTTCAAAACTTCATTGGTAAGCTGGGCTCTCCCATATGCTCAGCGCTACATTTACAACGTCCATCCAAATGAATATTCTGAACTCAAGCTATCTGGATTCAAGAATATAAATTGTCTGCGAATTGTTGTGGTGGAGAAGTTGTTCTACAAGAACGTTATAAAGAGATTTGGTATTGAATCTAATAAGCGATGTGAATGCAGTTGTCTTCTTCAGGACCACATCTTGTATGCAACCCGTGAATCTGATACCCACTCGCTATTTATGGAACTTTCTCGTTTTCTAGTTGCTGGAATTCCTGAATTGCATTTGGCAAATTTCCTTCACATGATTACAACAATGGCAGAATCCGGTTCTACGGAGGACCAGATGGAGTTCTTCATTATGAATAGCCAAAAGCTTTTGAAGCTGCCAAATGAAGAATCACAGTGGTCTTTAGTATCCATGCCATTGCCGGAAGAGGATAAGGATGCACCAACAACAAGCTTTGGTTTGTCATTAGATGATGTAAATCCACCTCCAAAGCCTACTGCTAAGAAGTTCGGAAATAACTCAAGTTGGCCACCAGTGAACTGGAGAACTGCACCAGGGTTTGAATCTGCTTTGAAGACGAAAGCATTTACTCCTGCTCAAATTAGAAGGGATGTTACTGAGGGATTAATTGAGTGTGATGGTGACTGGATCATCGAAGAAAATCCAGCCTCAGCAATACCTGCAGTTATCTTGGAAGAAGATGAAGTTGTAAAAGACCGAACAGATTATGGAATCGAAAGGGATCCTTCTGGTATGAATGTTGGCCATCCAGGTAATCAAAAGGATATAATTTCTTCTGATATGAATGCCGGATCTTCTGCAATAACCAGATATAATGGCTCGAACGCTAGTTCATTCAATTCAATCGAGAGAGATCAGCTATCTTGGGGCACAATCACACCACAACAGGTGATAACTGGGAGAACAGGAGAACTTGTGGCCTTCAAATACTTCTCCAACAAAATTGGTGAGAAATATGTGAGATGGGTGAATGAGGTTAAAGAATCGGGACTGCCTTATGATATTGTTGCTGAAGGTAAAGATAAGAGCAAGGAATACATAGAAGTTAAAGCAACATCAAATGCAAGAAAAGATTGGTTTGTTATAAGTGTAAGAGAGTGGCAGTTTGCTGTTGAGAAAGGCGAATCTTTTAGCATTGCGCGTATTGTCTTATCAGATGGAAAATCGGCTCAGATCACTACTTACAGAAATCCAGCAAAATTATGCCAGTCGGGGCACCTTCAGCTAGCTATTCTGTCGAATAAATCTTAAAAAAATGCACCATGGATACATACATACTTGTATAACTCTGGTCCATGGATGGTTTGCTTCCATGCATACAAAAAATGATGCACGTTTATTAAGGCATTTCTGGAAAAGATGGCGCAAAATGGTTCTTCAAAAGGCACTGAAAACGGCATCTAGAGATGGCACAAAATGGTGTCGGTACCAAAAGAGGGTATCATACATTCAAGATATATATGACCTCATGAAGCTGCAAATGCTTTGGTTGTGTACATGTAATCACAGATGTTACTAGCTACTGTGTAGAGGCTTACAATACAAATTTTAGCAATAGAAATGGCAATTGGGAACAATAAATATTCAAAGTTTTGAAACCTGTAAAGCCAATGATCTAGTGGTTTTACTTTTTAGCAATAGAAATGGCACATTGGTCCCTTTATTTGGCAAAGAAATTGAAAAACCAAAATTTTGAAACCTGTAAAGCCATGATTTAGTGGTTCTACTTTTAAGCCTGCAAAGCAATCAGAGCCAAAATTAACTGAGATCGAGCAAACTCGATTTGATATTTTTGAAGATGCTGTTTGTTTTTAAAAAACTTCTTATTCACCTTTTATATCCTACAAGACTTTCATGTCATAAGAGCTTAAAACCTCTTATTAGAGAAGTAATAAAACAATGTTCCATTATAATACAAGTAAAGTAGAAATATTATGAAAATGGGAAGATTTTATATACATTATTAAGTTGTATATGATACTTTCACACACATATTCTTAAAAAAATTCTTTTTTGAAGATAAAACCTAAAAATATTTTATCATTAAGATACGTTAGTATAAATCAATAACTGGATAACTCTTTTATTTATTAAAATATATATCAAATTAAATATTATATTAAAAATGTAACTTAATCGAGTTTATAAGCAGGAGTGTCAATTGTCAAGATGTTTTTTCAGAAAGGAGAAATATAATAATTTCGAAAATGAGAACATCACCCAACTGGAGGAGCATATGTAAACCACTGGTCCCTATGTGTTTACTACATTATTAGTGAATAGTGACTGTGATTTGCAAATCCTTACGAAAATCGTCTCCTGCCTCAGGTCACTGAAAGGGAGCGAGCAATCGACATGATATATTTGCTCACATTCCGGGCGAAGGTCGATCATGGCTAAGACTCACTAACATTCTCTTTGCCAGCAGGCTCCCACTTGCTGGTTCCGGGCTTGCTGGCCAGCCTATAAGATGAAACCGAAGGATTTGATCCAAAAGGCATACACCGTCCATGAAAGAAAGGGACGACACAATCTAGCACATATATATAGCTTTCTTAACCGTTGCCGTTTACCAAACGCTTACTCGGGTAAATGCTTACCAAGTCACATTACCTTACCGGATGAATATGACAAGGACCAAGAATCTTACCCTGTAAGAGCAAAGACAACGGCCGAAAGTCTTACCCGGTGAGGATTACGACTCTTACCATGGTTAGCACTTACCGGGTAAATTGTTGAAACGATACCGTTTTGGTAGACTAAAATCTTATCCGGTAAATAAGTGATAGTGTTGAATTTTGCCGGTAGACACTGACCTAGGTAAGCGTTTGATAAACAGCCTCTTAGTTTTCTGGCAACTTCGATTCCCATGTAACATCAGTCATCAGTAGAGGAAGCTCGATCCACACTTACAGATCCCCAGGGGATCAAAGTTGTCGAGCCAAACAGTTCTCTGGCAAGCCTTTCCGTTTCCATCAAAGGAGAGCCTGCCTGAAGGCGTTTGTCAATAGATGATCAAAAAGGGGAGTAGAAGCATTTGAGTTGGAGCTGGGTTTTGAGATTGAAGATGGAGAGCGTATCTGAAGATGTTCGTCGAGAATCAGAAGGAGGAGAGCTGAAAATGGTTCAATAAATCAATGGTTGATCTTACTTTTCCAAGTCAATGAACAATTTGAATTTTGGATCTTAAACGGCATTCAGGTGGGTAGTAGTGGTCAAGATCATCCTATTTGTTTGAATAGGTGGAACGCCTAGATTTACTATTCAAAAAGTTTAATATATCTTCCAACATACAGTCCAGAGTCTAGCCAATACCGGGCTCTCACACCCCCATCCAACAGAGGCTTGACGGACATAGATTGTCCCTGCTGGGATAGACGGACATAGATTGTCCCTAGGGGCTAGATGGATACAGATTCTACCAGAGTGTCGAGTCGCTAGTGTTGTATACCATAACCATGCGTGAACACCGAATATATGTCTAACTAGGGGTGAGCACGGGTCAGATCGGATCGGTTCGGACCATAAATCTGAGGGTTAGACACCTCAGATTTACTTTCCAAAAGAGCCCAAGAGGCTAGACTGGCACAGATTGTCCAGGAGTGCTGGCCGGGGATAGACGAGTATAGATTGTACCAGAGTGTCGAGTCCTAGATTTGTAGACCACACCATGTGTGAATATCTGTGCAACCCCCAGATTTACATTCTAAAAGAGCCCAGGTGAGAACGGAGGTTTCAACATATATCGAGTAGAATTGGTCCAAGTCTAGCTATCGTCGGACTGTAACACAATTATAGATCAAATTTGACCCAAGAGGAACTCTAAAGGACCTATCATCATATATGCAATTTACTATCCGAAAGAAAGAATAGCCATATTATTACTAATAAGAAAGTAATGAAAAAAGGTATGTCCATCTTATTTCCTAATTGTCGTAAAATCTGGCATAAGAGCTGCACGATTTATACCCTATGCGACATGATGACAGTAAGTAAGAAAAAGGTCAATCAATCGTGAAGTTAATAAAAAATATGACCTGCTTGCAGAGGCCAAACCGTCAGATGAATTGCTTCAGAAATTCCGTAGCCACTAACCTTCCTCTCATGTTCATGGTCAACTTCAGTTCAGTCATCTCTTTATCAATATCCTGGAAATGAACTCAAATATGAGATATTTTTTTTTTTTTTTGCTTTTCTACTTGCAAAGAATGATTAAAACATCAAAATTTTCAGTTTAAGTCTTTTAGAGAAGCAAAAGCAATGCATTTTAACCCCATCAACACAAGATTAGTGAGCATTGGTGAGCAAGCAAGTTGGCATTATGGCATAGGCTTAAGTAAAGGATGTTCGTTCTCTACTTCGTTCATAAAGATTACTAAAAGGCAGGTGGTTCCTTGGGATAATGAATCTTGTGATTAGAAATATAAATTGGAGGAAATACTTGAAGATAATTAATCGAAATCATACCTCCATGAATTGCAAAATGAAATCAATAAGCTTCTGCTTTTGCATCTCTTCACAGTGGTAACTAGTTATAAGAAAACTAACATCATAGCCCTGAAAATGGAAAAAGAGATCCAAGTCTTGAATTAGTGAAAACCAGGTTTAAGTTAGAGTTCATGGCAGTGACAATCAATTTAAAATACAACATTTGATTTGACATATAATTTGATATAAGCCTTTGATTGTAGACCACAATAAAGACAAAATATAGGAAACTTGTGGACTACAAGCAAAGTTGCTAATTTTAAATAATGATTACTGAAGTGCTAAAAGGAATCACTGAAGTAGGTTTAAGTTTAACCCAAATATAAGCACATACTAGAACACACAGACAAAACTAACATCAGCTCATAACAAGAAAATGTTATGCACCTGTACAGGCTTTCTCCGTAATACTTGAAAGGCTTCGGCCCTCATCGTCAGAAATCTCAGAAACTTTTTTGTTAGAATGTTTTCAAGCTCATCTGCCTGCTTTAACTATATACCAACCACAGTAAAAAACAGAAATGGAGAATCAGCAAGTGAGAATTAAATTTAGCTTCCAATTATGTTCATATCCCCCCCCCCCCCAATATTATTGGTATGTGATTGAGGAGGAGATATGAAATTTGAGTAGTGAGACTGAGGAGGGGATAAAAAGATGAATGGTATGTGAGAAGGGGGGTATGAATAGCAACCCCTTCATTTATACCAATTTCTTTCCATTGTTTATTATGTGGGTCCCATTTTCATTTCTCCACATATCAATTAAAGAAAGGGACCCACAATATATCCGATAAACTAAAATGTCACAAATGGAAATACAAATCTAGAAGCTCAATACTCGAGCATCAGAAAGTATGCTAGATAAAGCAAATAAGTGATTATACATTTAGTGCTATTACCTTGATGCTCATGCGAACTGAATTAATAGATGCTTCTATCAAGCATTTTTCAGCCTCATTTCGACAAATCAAAACCTGAAATGGCAGTCTGAAGATAAACACATGAAAATAGAAATAATCAACTGGATGAGCAAACACTACCAATCCAACCATCGGATCATCCAATTGTTAAGGTGTCTTGCACATACAATGGAGAAAAGAGGATATATTGTGTGTTTCTTAAAATCCATGAACAAAAGTTTGTTGCCTGAGTAGAAGACATACCAGCAGGGCATATCTGGAAAACTGTCTTAAACAGGTGATATATCATCCTAACTGATGCTAGCATGCTATATTTTAGTATCAGTCTTGTTAATTGGTGTTCTTAGAACTTCATTCCTTTGGTTTCAAGAAGATTTCACTTGTCATCATAAGGAGTATCTTCTCTTATCACAAACGGAAATAAGTTTTCTACCCTAAATTCATACATATTTTGATGATTCTTGCTTAGAAATTGCCATATGAGTCTCATGAAGTGGTAGCTCCGAGGGGATGAACATATTATTCGAGAGGAAAGCAACACCATTGCCTCAGCTCCAGTAAGGACAAACTTATTGACATTCACATTTGCCATCATATAGGATCCTCTTGCAACTCTTTTAGTGGGTCCCACTTATATGGTGTGCTTGTATGAGTAGAATGAAGATGCGATTGTGGGTCGTGTGTTCCCATTTGCTTGAGAAATGAAGACTGAAGCCACAAAAATGGAGAATGGAGAGAGAGCTCGGTCCAAATAAAGAAACTTGGATATGTATATGCAAAGTACCAAAGATTTGTTCTTACAGGCTTCAGCAGAAGTTCTGGGCTGCTTCTGAAAATTAATGAAGAACATAAAAAAGTCTGATGTCAAATGCTCTTGTATTTGAAAGACTATTATTTAAAAAAAATCTATCATCAATGCTGAGATATGAGATTGACATTACAAATGAACACCAAAACAACCAATATTCAGTATCAGATACATACTTCATTTCAACTTCCGGTTTGTTATGCCTTTCAACTTCTTGGCAAGGAAAGTTCTGCAACCAAAATACATCGAGATTAAGGATACCATTGGATTCAAATGCCAGTTTATAACTACTTGGTAACCCACCCCCTCATACATTTTCTATCTCTGCTGTTGCATACCTGCAGACACAAGGTAGCCTCTAGAGTGTTTCGTACGCAGGTTATATACGACTTCGATGAGCTTGCCTGTAAAATATATTATGCACAACAAGTTAATTACTATTACACATAAAATTAAACAAACAGGCATAAACTACAAGTTCAGCCATAAATTTCCTGAAACAACAGCAAAAACAAGATTAGTAAAACACCATGATATTAAGATCATAAATTTCCTGAAACAACAGCAAATACCTAAATGCTTTTGATGGATCAACTGATTTCAGTATACCATCTTCAACTTAAATATAAGTAGTTCTATACAAATAAGCATTTATTACCAGGGATCTGGTGGAAAACAAAAGTTCCAGTTTACCTAGCAAACAGAGTTTGAGAAATTGAACTCCTCTATAATTTAACATAAATTTCTCCAAATTCCAGCCAAAGAACAGAAGCCAATATAATCACAAAGCAATTAGCAACTATTCTAATGGAGACATCACGAATTCCAATAAAAATAACCTATTGGGGTACACTCTCAAAGATACACCTATCAGGAACTTAGAAATTTGTTTTAAAGTGCTTTTCAGCTGATCATTTGAATGACCTAGAGTTCTTTACATAATGTTCTCATTTCACTTCAAAATTTAAATCCATATAACTGATTAATAAGTAGATTATAAGGTAATCATCGACTAAAGGAACACGCTGCATGCATACATAGAGATCCATTCCCAAATAATTGATTTCCATGAATATTTATTTAGTTTGTTTACGTGAAATCAGATAAAATATACTATCGAATCAAAAAGATATCCGCAAATTTTCGATTCATACAGGAATCAAATAGCAATAACATGCATTTGATCGATCTCACAGTTCAATAAAAATTCAGAACGCGAATTCCAGCAAAGAAACCAATTATACAAACAGAACTTACCATCGATAAAGCTGGTTTAAATCAAAACAGCGTTAAAGAGAAGGATCGACTTCACTCACTGCCCAAAAAACCCAACAGAAAACATCAAAAGAACTATCACATTGAATTGAAGAACACACTTGAAGGAATTAGTAACAAAAATATCGAATAAAAAAACAAATCAAAAATTCCGACCTGCCGGATTCGAACCAGCGACCTAAGGATTAGCTGTTGGTTTGAAGCCTACTACAGTCCTCCGCTCTACCAACTGAGCTAAGGTCGGTTCGTATACTTAATACAAACTAAAATAATATAATGAAGGGGTCATTTACAAAAAGCAAACATTTCCTTGTCCTTAAGATGAATGAATATACTAAAACACCAAGAATTTTGGCTGTTAAAAGAGCAAAAGCAAGCATCAAATCTTATCTGATAAGTGATGATAAAGATTTTTAGTATAGTTAGTGCTTACCGGGTAAATCATTGCATATGATGCCGTTTTAATACATTAAAATCTTACCCAATAAATAATTGATACTGTTAAATTTTAAGAGTAAATACTTACCGAATAAGTATTTGATAAACGGATACGAAGTAACTTATAAACCATACATATAAACACAATATGTTTATATTTATTGTGCATATGGATTATAAATATATAAATATAAATTACTTTTTTCTGAAAAACCCATCCAAAAAGAATCCAAGAATTGAACAACCCATCTAAACCATAAGTAATCTTCTCACATCCTTAACACACACACACACATATATATATATATATATATATATATATACGGGGGCGTTCAAATAAAAACCATCCAATTTATATAAACCATGAAAACCACATTCAACCAATCATATTTTTTCATTTTATTCATTTTTTTGTAATCATGAGAGGTTAATTAACCATTTTTATTGTAAAAGATATTAATCATGTATATTATCATCTTCATTATTTTAATTGTAGAGAAATACATGAAACAGTTTCACTAAAATTTCATTAAATATTATATGAAACAATTTAATAACTATATATGAAACAATTTCATAACTATATATGAAACAAATTCACAAGATTAAACAATTTCATGAAATTTTTTCATAAGATTAAACAATGAAATCGACGTATGAGGGTGGTTTGTGCGGTTTGTACAAATAAGGGTGGTTTTCATTTGATCGCTTATATATATATATATATATATATATATATAGGGTTGGGTTCACGTGAGACCAGACTGTTTTCGTGAGACCCGTGAGACCACATTTTTACACTTGAAACTTCACA